GGAGAAGCTAAAAATGTGAGATCCAGATTCGAAGTTTCGAAAATTGTGGTTGGAAAAAGATTCCTGTTGCCATATTGTAATTTAAGTTGTAATGTATGTTGCCCCATTGTAATTAAATTTTGTAATATTTTTCAATATTGTATTTATTATTTTTTTAATGTTGCTTTTTATTGTTATTTTATCTTTATAATAATATAAATTTGAAATATCAAGAATCCGCTTTGTAATTAAAAGAAAATAAATTAAAGTTTGAATATATGGCAACATACAATAGGCATATGAAACAGCTGTTTATTGATGCTATTTGGTGCAACAACTACAACAGATTACAAATTGTTTATGATGGCAAAAATCGAAATAAACTATGTCAAAGACACAACGGCAATGAGAGATATCTGCGATTGAATTAAATTAATTCACAGTTTATCATTTCACTACATAATTGTGTGCTTTTTTTTAATTTCGATATTTTATCTCCCCAAATTCTTAAAAGGGTCAATTATTTTATGATATGCTCCTCCTCCTTTATTTCGTCCCCAAATCATGCACACAATAAATTTGAAAGAAAAATATTTTTTGTAACTTTATTATTGTTTTTTTCATGATTTTTATTTGAGTTTTTCACTGTTAAGTAGTCACTGTTGTAGAAGCAATAAATAGGTTCCTAACAAAAAACTAAGGAAACTGATGAGAATCAGTGGCGAGATCCGAAACTATAGTCTTCCCTGCCTTACCCCTCGGCGGACAATGCCATACATTCCCCACCAATAAATAGTTGTTTTTTTTATAAGAACAACAAACTGGGATTCAGCCTGACTATTTTGCAAAAACAGTTTTTGAGTTAAATTCACAATAATCAAAATCGTCATAGAATAAATAAAAATATTGAATACTTTCGCACAAAATGTCATCACATTCTTCCACTACCTGTAATGCAGAATAACTATTTTTTCTTGATTCAGAATAAGGGAAAAGTGAAAATGCGAAAAAACCACGGTGAATTGATGTTCAGAATAAGCCTGATCGTGTAGTAACTTTCCTGGAATCTAAAAATGTATAAACGTATTAAATGTTTTGACAAACTTTGGGCATAGCATAAGAGAATCACTCGAATATACTTCACCAAATAATAATGATAATAAATTAACAAATTGTATATTCTTATTTTCAGCCTTACATATTCAACACACCAACATTTGGTTGTACTAACTGAAAACTCCCACATTCAGGTTTGGGAGACAATAGGACTGTGTGGCAATTCTCCAAAATTTCCGCAAATAGCATATAAATAATATTAGAAAGGTACTTTAACATGACATAATTTATATACGTTAATTAAATAATGAAAGAACAAAATAAAACATTAAGTAAATGTCAAGGAAGAAATCTAATTTAAGGCTACTAATAATAGCTGATAATAGATAGATTTTTTTGGAAATTTAATTTTGTTTTTAATCTTAATCTCATATTCTTCTGTGTGGCAAACACTGCTGAACTAGATTTTTTTGGCAATTTCAAGAAAACATAAAATATCAAAATTATTTCGGAAAAAATAAAGAAATATCTAACAAACTACAATGACATCATTATTGCCAACTGAATTACTAAATAATAAAAAATTCGATCAACAATTTGTTATTGTTTTGTTGTTGTTTTTTGTAATTAAAGAAAAGTCCTTATTTTTGATGGCGGGTATGATAACTCCTCACTGGAACATCGGAATCCGAAAATTCCAACGGTGTGTGTGGCTCTCGTAACACTGACTTCGCTCTAAAATTAACAAAATGGTGGATTTTTTTTTGGCAAAATTCCGATTTTTGAAAAAACAAATTAAAAAATAAGGATATCAAAATTATACGAGAGCTATACACTCCCAGAGAAAAAATAACCGATTGAATTATTTTTGATCTAACAAAAAAATGTTTACAAAGTTTGACATCATTATTGCTTCAACAGTGAATTTTCACTAAATTTTGTAATAAAAAATTATATCAACAAAAATTTTGACCAATTAAAAGAAAAACAATGAGTAATATTATATACGATTTAAAACATAGATGTCTGCAAAAGCTTGAAAAACAGAAATAAACACACTCTCTATACTTTAATGGGGGATCATTAGATTACATACGATTGTTTTTTTAGCAATAAATACATAATCACAGTATAATTTTCATTTTTATAAAATTGTTAAGTTATAAAATTGCTTTAATTAATTTGAAATAATAAATATACAACATGTATTTTTCGATTAAGATAATCAATTTATTTGTAAATTATTCTTATATAATAAAAAATGATATTTATAAAAATATATTTTTCCTGGTTTGTTTGTTGTGACATAATCGAATTTAGATTTATTACTTTAATAACTATTTTTAATAACACACTTTTTACAGTAACAGTATCAGAACAAAGGCCATTGATGCCACTATATAATCAAAGCCATGTAATAAGAACACTTTTTTAACAAAGAAGAATTGTTCGTAATACAAATATAACTATGACTTCCATGGCGGTTGACGGGATTGACAATAACGTTTTGCATTCTTTTCCAATTTCTCCTTAGATTGCTTACTTTTAGATGTTAGAGCTAAAATTTCATCAAGCTTATCAAAATCACTTGGAGATTTGGAGAGTAGCTGTAAAACAAAAATAATTGTAACAGTTAAATGCTAAATAATTTCATTTTAAAGAGCTATTGTTTAGTTACCAATTCAATGTATGCTTGTAATTTATCCATAGGTGGAGACGTATTCTTTGGTACATTAAGATTATTTTCTTTTTTACTTGTTTTGGGTGTCTCATAGTTGTGCTGATGATTTTGTAATAAAATAGCATTGTTATGCGTTTCATTGCCATAGGGTGACTCATTGTCCGTTGTATCGAGTTGAGTTAAACGAGTTAGATTCGGTGAAGTCAATATTTCTAATGCCTTTTGCCACTGTGTTTCCATTACATTGTGCAGTTTTTCAGCAATATCAGCTCTTTTAGATTTATACAAACTCAATTTAAGTTCTAGATCTTCAATTTTTTTCGTGGCATTCGCCAATTGTATTCGATACAATTCTACTTCCTCCTTTTGTTTTTCTTGCAACAATTTCAATTCCAATTCATTTTTCTCATTTATCAATTCTAATTGTTTAACAGCACGTTCGGCTATTAAACGTTCACGTTCACGAGCTTCTGTTCTTAGATTTTCTTCGGTTTTATCTAATTGCTCTTGAAATTCTTTTAGCTTTTGTGAAACTACATTTTCCAGTTGTTGTTGGTAATGCGATTTCAGAGATTTTTGTTGTAGATCTAATTTTTTCTTCAGGGTACACTGTTATATAGTTTTCAAAATGTATATAATTTGAATATTACAATTAAGAGAAACAAAGAAAAGCTAGTTATATCTTACCTCATTCTCCGTTAAATGAGCCAAGGATTCTTGTAGTGATTTTCTTTGATTTTCCAAATTATCGGCCCTTGATTTTTGTTTTTGATGATATTCTTGCAACATTTCCTTTTGATGTCTTAATGTAGAGTTTTCCTTTTCAAGTTCATCACATCTTAGTTTTATCTAAAATAAGATAATTGATATAATGTTTTCACGATGTTTCCTGTATATCATCGTTTTGAAATGTTTTACTGCATTTAGATAGACTTCTAAATATTAACCCACGTAACGCCAGAGATTTTTTAAGTAAAATCGAATAATTGATTTGAATATATTATTAATAATCAACTATTTTTGAATAATATTTAGACTTGAAGGTAGGATTGTATAGAAAAAGTTGAAACAATAAAATATCTTATTTAGAGAAATTCACTGAGATCACCTTTTGTTCGCACAGTAGTAACAATATTTTTACTTTCTTTTATAAGGATGTTAATAATTCGAGTTTTATACGTACATACCTTTTCATACAAATGTTCGGACTTGGCATACTTATCCCTCAGCTTTTGCAATTCATTAAGAGACATTTCCTCAGATCTTTTACATGCATGAACTTGTATTTCTAACTCTTCCATTTTTTGTTTATATTGAGATGAAGATTCGCTCGTTTTCCTGCGAAATACAAAGTTATTTAGTTGATTTCATTAATTCATTATAATTTTAAATAACTTTCAACATACCTTGAATAATTTGTTATTTCGATTTCCAATCTTTCATTTTTCTCCTGAAATTTTGTTGCCAAACTAACAGCTTGTGCAAGTTCCTTTTGTAGTGCTTCCATTTTTTCATCATATTGCTTCCGTTGTTGTTCATAGGACTGAAGATTTTGTCGGACTTGCTGCAACTCTTGTGTGAGGCTAAAAATAGTATTGTAGTATGTTAATTGATTTTGAAAATGTTATTTACATATATACATCTTTCACTCTCAAAGCTTCAAGCCCCCCAACCCCCAGATTTATAACAAACTAATACAACTTTAATTTCGGCCGGACTGACCTTTTTATATTCCTCACCATGAGGTGAACATTCAAAATACTTCAGTTTTTGCTAGAAAGATTTTCAATTATAGTCAGTTTAGTTGAAAAAACTTGCCGAAACTCAACAACATACCAAACTTTTCGATGTACCAGTTTTGATAATAGTTGGTAGAAGCCAACATTTTCAGAACACCGAACAACACCGAATGGTGTTGCCGTTATAGTAGGGTTATCCAAATAAAGATAAAACTAAGAACAGTGAAACGCTGGAACATTTTATGCCCAGCATTTGCAAGACTTCGGAAATTACACTATCCATGAACTAACCGACCCACTAAATTCTATAAAGATTTACTCTATATTCCTATGTGTTCATACTATTAAATAAATTTTCAACATTCAACAATTCATTACCTTCTGTTTTCCATTTGTGCATTACTCAAAGCATTATCCTTTGTACGATCAACTTCGATGGCTACCGACAACCTCTGCTGATATTCTAATAATCTTGCCTGTAGTTGCCGAACTGTCTTTTCCAAATGTTGTCTTCTCAGTTGCTCCTCCTTTAAATTCGATTGGGATGATGTTGCAATGGCTGTAGATTGACCACTTTTTCCCCAAATTTCACTTAGACTTATGAGATTATTTTCCGTTTTCGATATATGGTTATCGTAAGTTGGAAATTTTTCTACGGACCCCGTATGCATAGTTGTTGGCAAGGAGTTACCTTGTGTTTGGTGCTGTTCTTCCACCATGTTTGGCTGTTGCTTTTGTATTCTTGCACGATAGTCATCACTATGCCTTTGTTGCCAATAGTTATCACTATTTGTTGTGGGTAGACGATCGTTTGACAAGAAATTATCAATTTCCAAAAGAACGCCATCATCCTTATATTCACAAACACCACTTGACTTCTTTGAAGGTATATTTTGTTTATATGGGACGTCCATACATTTAGGCGTTGAATGGACCATACCCACTTGTTCTCTGTTGTGTTTAGAAGGGCCGAACTGTGTTTTCACAGTATTTGTTGAAATACTCGATATATCTGAAGGATTATCCGCATAAGCCATTTCCCCCTGTTCCAAATAGTGTAATTTTGCATTTATGTTATTAAGTTCGGCTTTTCTAGTGGGCGGTAGAAATTGATATGCCGCACTAGTTGATGGAGGCGGCATTGATAAGGCATCATCTTCTTTACCATTTCCTAAATCCATTGCTTCAAAATGACTCGTCAAATCTCTTGATATTTTCGGCCGTGATTTATTTTCCAAAATATTAAGTTCTTGAAGGCTTGCGTATTGTCTCCTTTTTAAAGCTTCCAGATCTTCTTTTATTAGTTTTTCCTCTGCATTAGCCAAATAATAATCGGGTGGTATTAACAGCAAAATATCTGTATCGTCAGAATCACTCATAACCGATTGTTTATTAAAATTAAATAATTACATTACTTTTTGGTACAATTTTTCAGAACAAGAAAGGACATGTTTAAATCCAAACGCGGCACATCTGCTACATATGTATATAAACAAATAAATAAGTAGTCACAGAAAATGTGTAACCGGGTTTTCTGAATAATCGGTACGAGAAATGACTTTGGTAACACTGTGTTTACATGGAAACGGACATCCAAAGCGTTTACACGTTACCTTATAAATGAACTCTATTAACCCTTTGAGCCCCGAATTTTTTCCGCAATCTTAAAACAAATTTCTGTTCACAGATTTAATGTAACTATCCTAAAAAGGATATGCATAAAATTTGACATCGATACACCCTTGCATTCGGGAGATACAGTACATTCTTTCGGAAAAATGAAAGTCCAATATCAAGAAAACCAAATGCAACATCGACAGAATTATTATTTTTAATTATTATCTATATTCATTTTTACAAGAATCAATAATAATTCTGATGGCAGAATTCGTACAATTTGAATACGAAGCGATTTAAAAAAATTGTACTGTGTAAAGAAATTAGTACAGTACACACATTTACCCTCTTCTCTATATTGCAAAGCTTATAATTTTATCAAAATATTTTGGATTTTTCTTTTGATATTTGTCGTCCATAATCAAGTCTTGACGTATGAAATCCATATAATATATATCTACTAGCAGCATATTAAATATAAGCTCTAAAACATTTTGTTGTCTGTGGGCAACATTGGGCCACAAAGGGTTAACAAACTCCTGATATACCCAAACCGTTTAGAAATATTTTGAGATTGTGTAAGTCCGTAGTCACACGGGCAATTTTTGTGGTAAAGTAAATTGAGTTTATGGGCGAAAGAGGTAAGAGGAATAAAAGGGGGTACATACATACTTGTACTCCGCAATTCTCTTTTGTTTCGTTATTCGTTGTAAACAACTGAAGTTGGCTGCGGAAAAGTTTTGCATTTTCTTTCATTTTATGTTTTCTGTCGGCAAACAAACGCCAAGGCAGTTAATAAAATTAAAACCTTTTGCGAGGAAAAAAACACATAATATGTCTGTCGAGTAATTCAAGAGTTCCTTTTATAATTTCTTTTTTTTCTTTTAATTCCATTTTTTAATTTTCATGAACAATGGTCAAACGAGAAAATGAGTGTGTGGAAGAATAAGAAAATTCATAAATTTGATGCAAGGGTTATTTGCGTGTCTAAACAACAATGCAATTTTTAAAGAAATTGAGAAGAAAATTTGTCATGAAATTTTGCACGTGTGACTACTGACTAAATGCCAGCCGGTTGTTGGCATATTCATGGAGAACAGAATAAAAGTACATTTACATATACGATTTTAAATCGACTCGAGTAAAGTAATCCAGGAATACACAACTGTTTACATATTCACGTTCTAAACGTCAATCAGCTGATCCCTGTTAGAATACTTTTTTTGTACTTCATACATTGTCAAGTATATTCATTCACCAGTCACTGGTTATTGAATACATGAATGATGAAAGTATACTTACACATTTTTTTAATTTGCGCAAAAGATATTTTTTAGATATAAGATATTTTTAATTTGCAAAGAATTTGTAAACAAAAGCCAAAATTTTGACATTAGACTTGCTAGCTGGTGACCTTATAAATAAATCTTGATTTCTATGATAAATCTTGGCAAATTTAGCCTTATTAAGAAAATAAACCGTGATTCGGTCTTTAATCATGATCAAATATTATATGTAAATGCTCTTAAAAGATTTCGGTTGGCGTACGTTGTACGTACGACATTTGATATTGAGTGGAATTCATAGTCTAAATCCAAGGTATGTAGATAAATCAGAATAGCTATTGGTGCAATGATCAGTCAATATAGTTGTTGGGATTTGAGGCTTGTACCAATGCCTATAAATAAGATCGTCCAAGGAGACCAGCTCGATATCAGGTGCCTCTTAAGTTTTCTGTCAAAATTCATTATTGGGAATTGACTTCCATAATGAAAATGTAAACAAAGGCCAAATTTTTGACATTCGACTTGAGAAAAAACAGCTGGCTTTCGGTAGGTGGGTGAACTTTTTAATATATCTTGGCTCGTACACATGGCATAATTACAGAAGGCATAAATACATTTGAGAAATTAATAATGGCAACCCTTTTAACTTATCTATCAATTTCTAATTGCTTTGAAAAATAAATTCCATAAAATTTTATGCATCTCGAACGGCATGTTAAAAAAAAATAAAAATTTATAATTTCTGTAAATAAAAATCTCACTTTTTATTTATTAATATTGCTCCTATGATATAACTATAAATGTTACAAAATATATATTTTTTTATATTATAGAGGCTGAAAACTTCAAGATAATAAACAGTTTGTAATTATTGCCATTTTTCACCGTTATAGGGTTTTTTATACGTGCGTAATAGCTCGCAAAGATCTTATCTTTATGTGTATCAATTCAAACATTTCAGATCATCATGCTTTCACAAAGTCGAGTAGGTATTAAATTCTTGTTTCACATATAACAGAGTAGTTTCTTCCAGATTTTTTTTTTAATAGAACAAACCATGGTACAATAATACAAAGTAGGATAACTTGAGGTGAATAAGAAAAACTAACGGTTGTCTGTCAAATACACATTTCAAATACAAATTGAATAGGGAATACATTTAAATGTTTATCTTGTAATGTTTTCTTGATTATATATATATTTGTTAATGGTTCTGAGCATTGATTTAAAACCATTTGACGTAGTATTAAGAAAATGAGTGAACTAAATAACTTTGAGAAAATTAATAATAGTAACAATTATATCATACTACGAACACAGTAAAATGCGGGATATCTGTATATATTTATAACCATTTTTATTGTTAAAGTCAAAATTACAAAATAAACAGCATAGCATACATTAGTCATAAAACATATTATGTTTGTATTGTACAGAAAACAGATTTGAATGATACTTAAAATCATCTACTTACTGCAAAAAAAACATATCATATACTATCCCTACAGATGTTCTTGATACATCATAGTATAAATTGTCATTAGGCCATTCTCATCAATTGTTATTCGGTCGCGGCTTTAAAATAAGTTTTCCTGTATCGTCACAGCTCATATTAAAATCACCAAGCACACTACGCATTCTTGATGTTATAATTTGTGGAGCGATAACAAGTTTGTGTATTCCAAAAACAAATAAAACAACTGCAATTAAAATAAGGAAAATTAATAAATATTCCAAGATAGTATTATAACTATACATACGTAATGTTAATGTGGCGAATGTAAATACAGGATGAATGAGGAGCGATTCTGTTAGAGGTACAACTGACGTTCTGGGATCTCGCAACCAATACCAAGCGCCGATTGCAGTACACAATGATATTACAGCTAAAACAACTACAATTGGAATAGAAATATTAAATATGTTACCACATCTCATTTCCACAGGGTACTTACTTCTCCAGCGTACAGTTGACGGACGGTAAGAAGACACAACCTCGGTGAGTCGTCTCTCAAATGCTTTCAAATCTTAAATTGAAGAAAAATATTGTTTTAATACCAAAATCAAAGTTCATATATGTTACTATGCTTCTTTACTTACCTTCGCAGGCAGAAGGTTCCATATTAGATGTACTTCTGATATATATTTTTGCTTATTGTTACGCTTATGTTGTCTCGAATATTTTGTCTTCTTTGTTATTCTGCATTAGAGTTCGTCTCAATATGTGTTTCTATTATGTTTATTACGTTAATGGTATTAACTATGCTGTGCTGTTGATGCGCTGAAAAGCGAGTGAGTACTTTTTTTCGAAGCCTTTTTTCACCGACTACAGAAATATTGAAAAACGTTCCACCTGTTACGTATGGGATAAAGAAGAAATCAAAAAAGAAGACGGAAAGTTACGAATAAGGTGGGATGGAGATAAATGGTAGTTGGATTTGGATTGTTTACGAATGAGGTTTAGGAAAACATGATTAGGGATCTAGAAGTCGAGGGGGATTTTGTATAATAATCGATTAGTTGAATAATCGGTTTATCGTTGGAAAACAAGTCTGTAGAAAATTAAAAAAAAACGCAAGTGAAGTTCACTTTATTCGATAAGTAAATGAAGTTTGTCAACACTAGCTATAAGTCTGCTTTTCCACAGGCAATTTTTTTTTGGCAAATACTGAGTTTGTAGGCGAGAGGGGTGCGACGAAGAAAAACAAAAATTTGCCTGTTCAGAATTTGCCGTACACGCAAATTCTGCTTTGCTATGTTCTTTGAAAACAATTTTGTTGACATTTCCTTTTGAACCTATTCGCTTTACTGACACACAGCCGGCTTTTGTTTAAAAAACCTGTTGCTTTAATTTGTGCAAGTGAAATTTAATTTTTAATTTTTGCAATTTATATAATAAAATATATAAAAAATAAATAAAATATTAAAAAAAATCTTTAAAATGCAAACACTTTTGACTTTTATTTTCTTTCTTTTGTATTTTGATTCGCAAATTTGGCAAAGAAAAATTTGCGAATGGAAAAGCAAGCGAAAATTTCAAAAGAGAAAACAACAAATTTGCCAAATAAAAATCTGCCTGTGGAAAAGCAGACTAATTCAAGTTTTTAGAAAAAAATAGTGGGCATGTCGATTTCAAAAGACTTGTAACTGTATTAAAATTATATATTTTTCACAAGGAGAATGCTTTAGAATTCAAAATCATTAAAAATATCTGTAATTATGATATTTTTATCGATGCCGCACTGAGGAGCAATCATGGTACAATAATACAAGGTAGGACAGCTTGAGGTGAATAACAAAAAAGCAACTATGCACGTGTGGTCTCTTCTGTCAAAAATAAAATAAATAAATACGCAACAAGTGTTTGTGTTTATTTGACATTTTTTCAACACAAAACTAAAAACGCGAAAAATGAATGGTTATGGTTTCTTTCCAAAATGCTGTAAGGAATTAGTTTCATCCATAACAAAGTAATTATTTCCAGACGAACGTGTTATAAACTTTATTTTCATTTCAATTAAATTTGAATATTTTTCAATTTATTTTGAATTTATTTGACATTGCATTCAAAACAATACACACACATACACAAAATATGTATTTTGATTTGATGGAACAAGCCACCTTGAGAAAAAATTGTAATCAGTTGGTAGGTAGGGCACAGCTTGTAATAATTATCCATGGGCATATGGGTGAATAATAAGCACCTTTTCGATCATTTTGGCTCAAAATTGGAAAAAAATTATATAAATGCTCTGAATAATGATTAATATATAAAAATCAGATTTGAGTAGTTTTACATAATGGAAGAAATGATTTTAATCTTAAATCCTTTTAACCTCTGAAATCCCATGTCTATAATTGGATAAAAGGTTCCCGAAGTCGGCACCATGTTTTATAATTGTAATATTTTAAGAAATAAAATTAGTTTATCTAATTTTTTTAATACAACACTGATGGAAACGTCCGATAATAATTCTTTATTAATGAAAAATTAGTTAAATAAATAATTTTTGTTTAAATAAAATGCGACACGTTGACTATTGGAACATGACAAAGGCAGTTTAGGGGATTCTCGGTGTCAAAACTGTTTTTGATTTAGTTCGAATCTACTCTAATTCAAGAATGTCCCTACAAATTTCAAGTGAAAATCTCAAGAACTCTTGAAGATATAGCCGTTTTATTGTGCCAGCATCAAGTGATGACAAGAGTGGTTCCCCACCTTTAAACGCATTTTTTCGAAACTGTGTGTGTGTTTACGAATGACGGGCGAGATAACTCAAAAACTAAAAATTCAATCGGTTCTAAATTTTTACACGTTGTTCTGGGAGTGTGGAGCTATCGTATGATCTAGGATAAAGTCAATCGGTCAAGAAATTCCTTATTTTTAACTTAGTTTGAGGTCAGAAAAAGGCGAATTTCCAAAAAAAAAGGTAGGCCAATAATCCTAGTTTATACTAGAGCCACACATGAACAAATAAATCCTCATAAAGTAGGTTAACCCGGTAAAAGGTTCTATGTATATGCCGTTTAGTATTCATTTACCAGCCCATGAAAATCTTTAAAATATAAAATCGGGAATTGGGGGTTCCCTTAATTATCAATTTTATATACTTAAATACAAATTATTTAAACAATTTTTTATTGCACCGGGGAGTAAACAAAATTTGAAAAGATTATGGCTCACACAATCGTCCAATTTATTTAAAGGAGTTGACAACGTAATCCTTGACAATTTAAATGTACTATTAATAAACAAATTTGTTGTTTTTACGGTTCTGAGAATCCGCATGGAATTGAAGAGACCATTATATCCAGAAAAAGTCCCTGTTACAGTGCCACATGCCACACAACTTGAGCGAATATGTTTTTATTACAAGACAATAAAGGGTTTAGCGACTGCTTTATATCAGTTAATTAACGAAAGTATAAGCCATGGCCTATAAATAAGGTCACCAAGGGAGACCAGCTGATTATCGATACCTCTCAAGTTTGCTGTCAAAATGCATTATTGTGAATTGACTTCCATTATGAAAACGTAAACAAAGTCGAAATTTTTGACATTAGACTTGAGAAAAAACAGCTGTTTTCCGATTTCGATTGCTATCTTGGTTACCTTATTAATAGATCTTGGTATAAGCAAATGCGCTGTTATCGGTTATCGTCAGTAATTCTGTCGTAAAAAAACATGGCCTATAAATAAGGTCACCAAGGGAGACCAGCTGATTATCGATACCTCTCAAGTTTGCTGTCAAAATGCATTATTGTGAATTGACTTCCATTATGAAAACGTAAACAAAGTCGAAATTTTTGACATTAGACTTGAGAAAAAACAGCTGTTTTCCGATTTCGATTGCTATCTTGGTGACCTTATTAATAGATCTTGGTAAAAAAGATACAGAATCGCACCACTGAAAGAATGTACCATATTGTTGCTGTGCAATATCTTTTCAATGTACCATTTCTGTAGCTCAATTTTTTCGTCGCAATAACATTGTCGTTTTGTTGACACGGTCTCTAGTTCACTCACTTCCCTTTGTACAATTCCCATCACCTTCTTCGTAAAAAAGACAGTTAAAGACCATTGTGTTTCAAGTTTGTTATTTATGCCTTGCACCCAGGGCTGCCAGATTTTTTTTCGCGAAAATCGTCAAAATGACGATTTTTTTTATCAAAAATCGTCAAAAATTTAAATACGCACATTTAGATATATTTAAATATATTTTTTTATTAAAAGGAACATAAAAGAGGTATTCAATTTATTAAACACGTTTTTTAAAGCTAATCAAGAAATTCATTTATTTTATAAATAAATATTTGAATAGTCATTTCGACTTAAATAAAGTCATTCATTTTGAAAAGAAATATTTGTGTTAATCATTTTCTACGTGTCGGTTTTAATTAAAGTATCATAACAATTTGTTTTGTTAACTTTTAAATAATCGTTGGTATAAATTTCTCCATTGAATCCTTATTGGGGGAATATCGACTTTTCGTTTTATTAAGATTTACTTAGCTGAAAACACGCTCAACATTTGCTGAAGAATGGGGTAATACCATTACCTTCCGTACAAATTTAGATATTATAGGAAAAACATATGAACCATCACCACGTTTCAAATCAAATATTGCATTCCAAAAACGAAATAAATCGGTTTCATCATTCTCACAAATCAAACAACCTTAGTTCGCGAAATTCTGAATCCAATTTTTGTTTTTCATCTTCGTTCACAAAATGTGGAAATTCTTTAAGGATATCGAAACATTAATTATTCTTTTCATTACTAATATACGTGGGACTTATCATAGATACAATTTTAAAAATGCTTTCAAATCGAATCTTTTTAAAATTGTAATAACTTTGTATAAATTGAAACTTAAATTTAATATAACAACTTTTCCGTTCACCAATTTTCTTCTATTTGCCCGTGTCAAAAAACAACAACCGTTAACTTGTATTTGTTTTGTTGATGTCTACCCAGAGAACGGCACAGCTGATTGGTTGTTTTTCATCTATCTGGGTAAACGTAAACTGTTGTTGGCTATGTAACAATACAAAGTATACCTCACACACATATGCCAAATATGCATATTCTTTTTACTTTTTCTTTCGCTTTATACATTTTTGATGTTGCCATAACAAAAATAATCCAAATATTGCAATATTACCAAAATGAACAAAAATCGTCATTTTTTGGGCAAAAATCGTCAAATCGTCATTTTTCAATTTTTGATCAAAAAATCGTCAAAATGACGATAAATCGTCAAATCTGGCAGCCCTGCTTGCACCCCCTATTCGTTGCAATTGGAGCGTTTTTAAATTAGGTCGGTTTATTAAGTAAAAGGCAAAAGGCGCGCAGAAGATGCTTTACCAAGGCAGATAAATAAGATCACCGTGTAAGCACAGCTGTTGATACAGAGAAGTGTCAAAAATTTTGTAATTAAAAAAAAAAACAGAATTTTAAATGAAAATCTCCGAATTTGGAAGAGCTTGTTCGTTAGTACTTTTATTACCATTTTCTGAATTCATTTATTTAAAAAAATCGCATGAATCGGCTTGGTTTTGTAAAATATTTTTGACGTATCATTGTACCACAACAATGGTTTGTTGTAATGAATTGCTGATGAGGCTTTCTTCATAAATTTGCGTTGGGTGCCGCTGTTCTATGCAAACACTCTTAGTTTTTTCGCTAAACATTTTTCAACTTTTAAGTAGTTTACTATATTTGTGTGTGTTTTTAGTTTAATGTGACTACAGGATATATAAAGACATGACGAATAACGTAAAGGTGCCGTTGGAATGGAAGCGGCGCGTTAAGAAGGAATATATGAAAATTCGTCAACAGAAACGCTACAAGAGAGCGGATGAAATAAAGGAAGCCTGGATTAAAAATTGGTTGGTAACATACTATTATGATATATATTATCTTAATGACGTTACTCCATGCTTCATATATCTGCAGGGATGAACACAATTATAATGTTCAGGATTTGTATTGCGACCCAAAGGTTTGGCAGGCCCAACCATATGACCCGCCGCATGTAGACTGTGTTAAAAGAGCTGAGGTAACAGTTTATAATGGAGGTGGTGCACAACAAGTGCCAATTTGTGTAATAAATGCCGTCACACCTATTCCAACAATGTATACATGGGCACCTACACAACAAAATTTCATGGTCGAAGATGAAACAGTCCTTCATAATATACCCTATATGGGTGATGAAGTACTTGACAAGGATGGCAAATTTATTGAAGAACTGATTAAGAATTATGATGGCAAAGTGCATGGTGATAAAGATCCCTCGTTTATGGATGATTCAATATTTGTGGAATTAGTGCATGCTTTGATGCGAACATACCCCAAAGAAATTGAGGAAATTACTGGTGCTCCTTTAAAAATTGAAGTAATCAAAAATGAAGAATCAAAGGAAAAGCACAGAGATGGGGATAATGATTTAACCGTAAGTGAGACTGAGAACAAAGAGAAATCGAAGGATTCTGAATTGGACGTGAAGGATATAAAAACTACAGAAGCCGATGAAGTTAATACCGAAAAGGACAAAGAAAAAGAAAACGAGGAGTCTGTTGAAAATACAGACAAAAATGCGACAGAGAAATTACCATTTCCCCCTCCTATTATTTTTCAAGCTATTAGCTCAAATTTTCCAGATAAGGGAACCGCACAGGAACTTAAAGAAAAGTAAGTTATCCAAAATTATCCCTGAATAGAATCATTTACCATAATTAAATAAATATCGAGATATGCCGACAATACAAACTTAAAAACATCAATTCTGTAACATAATTCATACGTGTTTAAGCTAAAAAAATCATGTCATATAATAATTGTTGTATAGTTGTTATCATTCTTATTTGCTTGTCTGTTCTTTGTAGATATATTGAGTTGACGGAACATCAAGATCCCGAACGGCCACAGGAATGTACACCAAATATTGATGGGGATAAGGCAGAAAGCGTTTCAAGAGAAAGAACTCTTCATTCTTTCCACACCTTATTCTGTAGGCGTTGCTTTAAATATGATTGTTTTCTACATCGTAAGTACAATCGCATAATAATACATATAATTGAGCTATATATTCAATGCAATACCTTCTATTTTTTATTCTTTTTTATATTATGGTTTATATTTTAAATAATATGAATTATTATAATGCTGTTGAAAAACTGAGAATAAGTATTAAACTTTAAAAAAATACAAGAAAATATTTACTTCAAATGCAGGTCATCCAACTCACGGTGAGTTGTAGCTGTTGTTGTATGTTTTTTATTTGTATGTCTTTCTCTACTACACGATATCGAGTCAACATTCTTCCCATTTCAACCATTTGATGTATATCATTTTACTCTCCAATATAAAAAACATTAACAACAGAAATATATCCATAAGACAAATATCATGCCCCAACTAAATTTCCTAGTAAAAAATTAGTTAACTTCATAACAGCATCTGCATTTATTACTTTATCATTATTAATAATATAAACATGATTTTCTAAATCCAAATGAAATCTTCACAAACCAGGAAACGTTTTCTTCAATTTATTGGCATTATATTGTAATGTGTTACAGTTTGTTATGATTTAAAAAGATCCACCATACAGCTTAACATCCATTAACACTTAAATCGAACATTGAATTTTAGGGCGTTCCTTGATCATTACCAATCAGTAATCGGATATTCAAAATTAATGGCATTTTCAACAGATCACTTAATTTATTATGTTAGTTTTTCATATATAATCTAAAGTTTTAATATATTTCATTAGGTTTTCAAGTGGGACATTCTGGACCAAATTTACAAAAACGACGTTTTCCCGAAATGAAACCATTCACCGAGCCATGCAGTAACAATTGTTATATGCTTTTGGTAAGTGAAATTTGACCAATTCACCGAAAAATTTTGTATGTAACTTTTCATTAACAGGAAGGAATGAAAGAGAAACTTGCCGCTGATAACAAAACTCCGCCAATTGATTCTTGCAACGAAGCCAGTTCCGAAGACAGTAACGACAGCAATAGCCAATTTAGTAACAAGGAATTCAATAATGATCAAACTAAAGAAAATGGAACTGTAACAAGTGCAGCTTCAGCAGAAATAAATTCAATAATGGGTATGTTAATATTGTGATTGTTTCGAATATAAAATTTTTGAGTTATCGGTACTAGGGCAAATACGGTAAAGTATTTTTTGTAATATTTTCATTAATTTTCTTTTAGCTGGAATGATGAATACCTTAAATGTAAAATGTGATTGGACTGGTGCTGACCAATCGCTTTTTCGTACATTGCACAAAGTATTTCTAAAGAATTATTGTGCAATAGCCCAGATAATGTTGACGAAGACATGCGAACAGGTTTTTTTTAATTACATTTTTCCATTTTATTATGTATAATAATGTTGTGTTTCTTTCTTATGCCACAGGTATATGAATTTGCCCAAAAAGAAGCTGCAGAATTTAGTATTGAGGAACTACGTCAAGATTATACACCTCCACGCAAAAAGAAGAAGAAACAACGTTTGTGGTCGCTACATTGTCGTAAAATACAATTGAAAAAGGATTCCTCTTCAAATCATGTCTACAATTATACACCTTGTGATCATCCTGGTCCTTGTGACATGAATTGTTCGTGTATACAGACACAGAACTTTTGCGAGAAATTCTGCAATTGCAGCAGTGATTGTCAAAATCGTTTTCCTGGCTGTCGTTGCAAGGCCCAATGTAACACCAAACAATGCCCTTGCTATTTGGCTGTACGTGAATGTGACCCAGATCTATGTCAAGCATGTGGCGCTGATCAATTTAAACTTACAAAAATTACTTGTAAAAATGTTTGTGTGCAAAGGGGACTGCGTAAGTATAGTAAAATTCTACTATTCTTTATTTCTATTTTTATCAAGTTTTGTTTATAGATAAACATTTACTTATGGCACCATCGGATGTTGCTGGTTGGGGTATTTTCCTGAAGGAGGGCGCTCAAAAGAACGAATTTATTTCGGAATATTGTGGTGAAATTATATCACAGGACGAAGCGGATCGCCGAGGAAAAGTCTATGACAAATATATGTGCTCGTTTTTGTTCAATTTGAATAATGATTTTGTCGTTGACGCCACACGAAAAGGCAATAAAATACGTTTTGCCAATCATTCCATCAATCCCAATTGTTATGCCAAGGTCATGATGGTGACCGGCGATCATCGTATTGGTATTTTTGCCAAACGAGCCATACAGCCAGGTGAGGAATTATTCTTCGATTACAGATATGGCCCAACGGAACAATTAAAATTCGTTGGAATAGAACGAGAAATGGAAATCGTTTAAACATTTTACGAAAAATAATCTATGTATGTTTTTATTTTATCAAATGCATTGAAAATTACTAAAATCAAATAAATATACAATTATTGGAATTTCAAACGCTTTTTGCTACATTGGCTATAATTGGTTTTGGTCTCGATTTGAATGTCAACTTTTTGGTAACAATAGCTTGGACCGTATATTCGGTTCGCTGTTTGGTTTTGTTCTCCAGAGCAACTGTGTTATCCAATAGTGTTCGATCAACCGTATTGTTCATAACACTTGCATTTAGATTCTGTACAGTTTGATCTAAAATATGTTGACCCTCATTGGTTTTTGATTTCTCGAGGACAGCAAATGGCTTCTCTAATTTTTGTTCTCTTCCCTGTAATATGTGATGGCCTATAATGAGAATCTAAGGCATATTGTTCAATTAGAAACAATAGACGTTTAATGTAAATGAATTTATACTTACAGGTTGTCCATACTTGTTGTAATAGAGATCTCCCACAAATTGATCATGCATTTCTTCGCTTGATCTTACTTCCAGATCACCTTGTAATTCAACAATCGCCCATTCTTTTAAGCCGCTGGATGTTTTGCTTGAAATTGAAAATATTAAAATCAATTAAAATTTAAAATCACATCTAATCACATTAATATACAATTATTGGAATTTTAAACGCTTTTTCCTACATTGGATATAATTGTTTTTGGTCCTGATTTCAGTTCATTACATAGGACCCATATGTAATGAACTGTATATAAGATCCTAGGACACTATAATTAACCCAAAGTTTCATTACAAGTCGTCACCGCGAGCGACGTAAAACAGTGAATTGCACATATCATTGAATTGCCAATTACTTTGTAATTCATATAGTGGGACCCATTTTTAAAAATCAAAGATTGAATGAAGATTTAATGGATATCGTAATATGAACAATGTTTTGAACTTTGATCATTAAATCTGAAAAGGAATAATAAAACACCACTTCTCTATCATTTAAGACATATATGAAATATTTATTTTATAAAAATTACTATTAAAGAAATACGTTAGCATTGCATGCATTAACAAATATTATTTGCATATTCTAGATTTGCCAATAACTAAACTCCGCGGAACTTCTTAAATAAGGGATGGATATTTCCTGAGTTCTTTTTACGATGTTCATAGTAAACAGCATCATCACCACCCGACATAGAACTAAGACCACCGGCACGTTTAGCACCTGTGGAACTACTTGGCCTGTAGCCAGGTTCGCCAGGAATTTTCTCATCCTCACAGTCCAAATCAGAGGCAGACAACACCTGTTGCAACAGCTGAGTTTGTTCTTCACGATTTTTATAAAACAAATCGGGATCCGTATCCATACCACTGAGATGTGTAATTACTTTGTAGCTGTAACCTTGATTAACCAAGAAACGTTGACGTTTGCGGGAGTAACTCATTTCCATTGTGTCTTGTGACACCAGGGTATAGAAGAATGCATTATACTCCTCAGCAATGGCTCCTTTCTTAGCACGCAAAATACGACCAAGACGTTGGGCTTCTTGACGACGAGAACCGCCATGCGATGAGATTTGGATCAAAACATTTGCTTCTGGCAAATCAAAACTAGTATCTGCCACTTTGGATACGAAAATAGTGTTAACTTTTTGATTAAATTTGAAATTTTGCAGAATTTGTATACGTTCATTCTGGGACGTGGGACCGTAAATAAATGGTTTGTTCATTTTAATGGCGTAATGCTTCAGGGCAAATACATTATCGGAGAAGACAATTGTTTTATCCCCTCGCATCTCGTGGTACTTTATAAGAAATTGACAACTGCGGAATTTCGATGGATTCATAACATATAATAACATTTTCTTTGACGTTTTCGCTGTAAGGTATTCTCGATAAAACTCTGGAGACATGGGGCACCACACTTCGGCACATTGTACGCGTGCAATATAACCTTTCTTTTGTAATTCCAACCAATTCGCTTCGTACAGCTTGGGACCGATAAGGAAATTAAGATCAGCGATTTTGTCATCCTCACGCAAAAGAGTGGCAGTTAGACCAAGTTTGCAGTGAGATTGAACAATTGTCAATACTCTTCGAAACATTTTTGCTGGAATAGTATGTACTTCATCCAACACCATTATACCCCATTCTTGTTCCTGCAGCCAACGCATGGTTTGTTCCGCTTCCCATGATCGTTTCTGGGTGTGAGTAATCATAGAGTATGTTGTTACCAGGATACCACAACCCATGGGTTTGTCTTTAGCTTCGGAGGTAAAGCGGCAAATCATACTGTCGTCGGCCGTAGACCACATCTTAAATTGCTGTTTCCACTGTTCCACAGATACACCACTGTTACACAAGACCAAAGCTCGTTTTCGGACAGTACAACAGGCAGTCACACCAACCAAAGACTTACCTACATATTAAATATTTTTACATATTAGTACAAATAGCATTTATATCAACCTCAGAAAATCTGTTCCATACCTGCACCACAAGGAAGAACGATAACGCCAGATCTCGCACGCCCATTACCAAACATTTTTCGAAGACTTTTCTCTTGGTAAGGCCTAAGTACAGCAGCAGGTTTTAAGTCAATGTTTATGTCCGGATTATGGGTATCGTTGCGGAAGTCATATTCCGCTAACAGCGGGTGTTCTATTTCAATACATCGTTTTTGAATAACTTCAATTTTTTCCTGGCTAACCTCAAAAGAAACCGTATTTAAGTTTGCTTCGTCCTCATCTTCCTCTTCGTTATCAATTTTGTCATAAAAGTTTGTAATATCATCGGGAACAGCAGTGGTACCATCTGCATTTGTTGTTGCCGGAGCATTTGGCATAGTTTTGGCGTCAGGTTTAGCAGTACCTTCGGGAATTTTTGTGCCGAATTGTGTAATTGCTTGCTTTTCTAAGGTACCCTGTATGAAAGCTTCTCCATCTTCTCTCTTAAGACGACATTGCTGGATGACAGGATCTTTTAACAATTTTTGCAATATATCCGGATGTGGTGATTCTATAAAGTAGCGATTATGCTTCAATACCAGCTTGACTTTTCCATATGATAAGGTACACAACTTTATGAATTCCACAATTCCTTCTGGTATAGATGTCTTACTAAGACGTTTTAGATATTCAACAATGTCGTGCGTTTGCAATCCCACAGACACAGCTGCATACAAACTGTATGCGGTGAGTTTGTATTCATGAATATGTTCTGGACGACACACTGGCTCCGATATGGCTATAAGGAAATCATGAGCATGCTTGTACACTGGAGAAAATGACTCCAAAAATATATGACCATTTGGAGCCACCCACAGGGGGCGATTTGTGTGGTCACTTTTCAACTCCATTTGAGCACGATAATCTTTGGCTCCATATTCATCGGTCATAATGCCATCATCATTGGTTTCGGCATTTTTTGAAGCAGCTCCTGGTACACCGTCACTCTCACTAAAATCCATGGAGTCATTATCCTCGACAAGTTGTGTGTAAGCATCATCTTCGGCCCTGCGTTTTTTCCCTTAAAAAATAAATGTTCCTTTAAGATGAGATAGCAAATTAATGGACTAACAACTCACCGAATTTCTCGGAATTAAATTTATCTTTTTTAGATTTCTTTGGTGGCCCCATTCTATCCATAAGTACGGAGATTTCCAATATTCCGGATCAACGCATAAAAGCAATTGTAGCAACTACAGAGTTGCCATATGTTAAAAAAACAACAACTGGAAGGTTTCACACTTAATGTTAACTCAGTGTTATTAATGTTACTTGTCAACAAATACAACTTATAAATTACAATTTCTTCATATTGTGGCTTGTTAAGCCAACGTCGTATACAAAATATGTGGCTGTGTATGTGATGTTTTGAAAAATATAAAAAAAAATTATTACCCTGCAAGCATTTGGAAGTGATTTTCTAACTCCCTCGCCTAATAAGTCCGCGTCACTTCTTGTCTGAGAAAAGGCGATATTTTGTATATTTACAATAACAAAACTATTGTTATTCAGTTTATATTGTCTTGGAGTTACTTCTGAGTGTAATTTTGGAGGATAAAAGAAGACTGCTCAAATTTTACAATAACAATTTGTACAATTTCCAAATGTTCTCTTTTTTGCTTGGGAAAAAAGAGTAGAATACATATAAATTAACTCAGTTAAAGTAAGATTTTCAATATGATTGGTATGCGGCAAAGAAAAAGTGAATTCAAACTAATTATTTATATTAAAAATAACAGTAATATATATTATGTGTCTGCATTTATAAAAATAGTGTTATTAAAATAATAAAATAAAGTGTAAAAATTAATAAAAAATATTTTTTGATTTGTGAATATATTAAATAATAAAATTAAATAATAAAATATATAAAAATTTGTATGTGAATTGCTATTTTAAAGGCCTATTATTATAACATTCCTGACTAGGGATAAGTAAATCGACTTTCGACTAATCGACTTTTTGTATTAAAAAGTCTAAAAGTCGAAGTCGACTTTTGACCTTTGAAAAGATCGCAAAGTCGACTTTTCAACATCGACTTTCGATTTTCTTCATAAATTCTTGGTTTATTATCACAAAGCGGAAATTGTCTAAAAATTACACATTGCAGAACTTTTTTTCATCTTATAAAAAATTAAATTTTTAGTCGATTTTGCTTTAGTTGGTAAAAGTCGAAAATCTATTTTGAACAGGTTTGACAAAGTTTAAGGGAACCCCCCCCATTCTCGATTTTTTATTTTTAAGATTTTAAATGGGCTGGTAAATGAATACCAATGCTTGTTAGGGTTTGTAACTTTGCACATATATATTTGAAGATTTAAAGAGGAAGAAAAATAATTTACAAAAAAATTTTGTTGTTGTTTTGTTGTTGTTTTTTGTGATCAAAGAAAAGTCCTTATTTTTGATGGCGGGCATGATAACTCCTCACTGGAACATCGGAATCCGAAAATTCCAACGGTGTTAGAAAGAGTACATGTCTGGCTCTCGTATGAACTAGGATTATTGACTTCGCTCTAAAATTAACAAAATGGTGGACCTTTGAAAAAATATTTTTGGAAAATCGCCGATTTTTTACCAAAAACCAACTTAAAAAATAAGGAAGATCTTCACCGATTGGCGTTATCCTAGTTCATACGATAGCTATACACTCACAGAGAAACGTGTAAAAATTTGAAATCGATTGGGTTATTAGTTTTTGAGTTATCGTGCCCGCCATTCGCAAAAAAATGTTTAGAGAAAAACGCGTTTAAAGTTTGAGAAGCCCTTCAGCCGTCACTTGATGCTGACACAATAAATCGGCTATATCTTCAAGAGTTCTTGAGATTTTTACTTGAAATTTTGCAGGGACATTCTTGAATTAGTGTAGATTGGAATTAAGTCAACAAAAATTTTGACCCCGAGAATGGGGGGGGTCCCCTTAATGATCGAAAAGTCGACTTTTTAGTGAAAGGCAAAAATCGAAAAGTCTAAAAATCGACATTTTGATCAGAGGTAAAAATCGACTTTTGCGCTCGACTACGTATCCCTATTCCTGACATAGCAAGAAATAAGCGAAGCAGAAGAGAAAAAGAAGTAACGCCTCGGCGATAGAAACAGTTGCAGAATACAATCACTTTCTTATCGCGGATGTCACCTCAAACCTATATATTATTTCATTCAATTCGCATACATAGAAGACACTTAGAAAACACTACACATTTTTAGTTTTCCGATTTACCTCGTGTTCCGAAAGTTTTTGAAATCCCATACTTTTTTAGATTCCCATTTTGTGCAAAATGGTGAGCTCAATTTCGATCGAAAGTGCGACTCGTTAGCTTTGTTCAATATGTTACGAACTGTGTTCACTAACTACCAACAAAAACATATGTTTTTTATGTATTTTCTATTTGTTTAACAACAAAATTATGAAAAACTGTCTGCTTGCTTGATAATTGCCTTGATTTCTACTAGAATTCTACCAGCAATCTTTTCGGCGGCGGAGGTGTCGGCAGTATAATGGGTATGTATAACAATGCCTTTGGCAACAATCTGTTATCGAAATTTCCCCAATAAAATCAAAGAAAAAATCCACAACATCCTCATCGACGTTAGCATCTTCTCGTCAAAAGAGACGGCGTCGGAAAATGAATGATTTCTATTTTCTTTAATTTTACTAGACAATCTAATTTGAATACTAGGTAATTTAATTAAATATTGTAAAAACAAGTTGAATAATTAATCTGAATTCTTTTTAAACTTGTATGTGCTCAGAAAAGCACGTACAATCTCATTTCATTTTCAACCCACAATGTTTCACATTCGAGCATCACATGGGCGTATATAAATTTGACGTGTTGCCATGACTCTCTATATATATTTAAATCTTCCACGGCGCACATCAGACTTGCGTTACGTTGTACACTAATTAATAAACATTACACCGGACTATAGCAACTTTTGTGTCGACATTCGTAGATCGAAAAACAAAATCCAGTCCAATTTATTGGACTTATATTAAATAGCTTGTTTCAAATGCAAAATGTGAAGGCAATTTTACTTACGTTTTTATTAAAACTGGCATATTGTTAAATATTGACAATGATTAACTACCGATAAATAATACACTTTGTCCAAATACACACACAACTTTGTGCCGCCTTTTTGGCTAGAACCCAGCTGTTTATGAACAGTGTTGCCGCATTTTTAATCATTTGCTGTCAAAAATCATACTGTGTGAACAACCTGTTTTTTGTAGTGTGGTTGGTGGAGCTTTGTTTACAATTTTACATTTTAAGAAAAATAAAAAAACATTAATAATGTTAACAACTAGGTTGTTAACCAGATTTTCTAATAGCCGAAATGTTTTGGCCCCAATGGTAAATTAAAGTATTTCATGTCATATTCCTGCACTTACGGTTCTATCCGTTGTGCGTTCCATCAAAGTGGTGTAGCTGTCTTACATAAACATTTGTACTGCGTGATATTAAAAATAAACATATTTACAGATTTCAACTACATCGAATGCACAAATTCACCAATTGACCAGACATGTGGGTAATTCGAATTGCGAGTATAAGCCATTTCTCATAAATACGTGCAAGTATTGTTCTGCCAGTACAACAACCACTACGACACCAGCTGAACAAGGCAATGGGATCATAAAAAGAGTTTTGAAAAAAGTTGGTTTTACACCAAATTCTAAAGCTGTAAGTACAAATTTTAATTTGGTGAAATTTGACCACAAAGTTGCATATGGTGTGTCAGTGCAATAATTGTTTGGAAGTCATTTAAATAATTGTAAAATCTGTATTTAGTTTTAAGTTTAAACTATGATGTTAAAAGTGGCTCATGAAATTACAGATTTCCTAAATGAAAGTAAATGTAATAATGAGGAAGGTGTTTGCTGTTTAAAGAACGTCCGGACCGAAATTTGTTTAGCCTCCAACAGAGATGTTCATGCAAACTAGCAAAAATGTTTGGATAGTCTGCAAGGAAAATGCGCTTTCAAAATACAGAAAATGGTGCGGTACCGTTATATAGGGTAATGTGGACGGATTTTTAATACCAAACTAGAGATGTATAATATTCAGTATCTGGGTTTCATCAGACAGTAGGATGGATATGGCTGAATCCTCATAAAATTTATTCTGAACAAGAACATATAAATTTGCTATGTTTGCGAAGAATATGTTGGAGTTTTTCACAATTTTTACGTGACATGACATTTATGATTTTCTATCTTAGAAGATTGGACATATCGAATGATATATATCTGAACTATGTAAATCAATTTAACATAAGCTACCGTTTGCTTATAATTGCATATTTTTCTTTTAAAACTACTTCATTTAAGCAAAATAATAATAATTACACAAACACTCAGCATTGTACTCCAAAGAGTAAATTTTTTTTAATCCGTTTATTTTTTTTACAGAGAATACGTGTAGCCAGCCATATGTTGTATGAGAGCGTAGCCGACAAAATTAATTATTTGGCTTTCTTCAATGATTTTAATATGCCTAATACATTCAATTCATGGTTTTTGGTCACCGAATTGCATGTGTGGATGCTATTATTGCGATCTATGGCAGAAGGTTCAGAGTCTGGTGAAGATGGCAGATTTTTACGAAATTGTATCGTTGAAGCCCTATGGTCAGATGTGAATACTAGGGCCAAGAAGTTGGGGGTACGTATATATCTAACAAAATATATTTTCTACATAGAATATTTTACATAATCATTATCCTTTCCAGGCAAATAATCCTTCACGAACTCGCCAACAAATCGAGGAACTTTCGGAACAATTTCAGGCTGCCTTAATAGCGTATGATGAAGGTATAATGTCAGAAGATCGTGTGTTGGCCGCAGCACTTTGGAGACGTTTCTTCGCCTTGAATTGTGATGACTATGAAAAAATTGAACGATTAGTTAAATATGTCAGGCGTCAAGTCGTTATGTTAGATAATCTGCCACGTCAAGATTTTCTCATTAAACCCAAAATACCCTGGCAGGATCTAAATAAAATTCACATTTAATTTGATATGTGAATCTTGTTGTCAATCGGTACCCTTAAATATGTAAATAAATACTAATTAAAACAAAATTCATTTGTTATGAAAAATTTTATGAAAATAAATATACAGCCTTATTGTGGATATTCGTTAGAGCGAGCTCTAGTTTGTGAAAAATGTTTCGCTTTCACATTCTTGCCGATGCGGATTCGAATTTTCAAAAGTGGTGGTTGAAAAGAGATTCGTGTTGTCATATTGTAATTTAAGTTGTAAGCTCCATTGTAATTTAATACAAAATAATATTTACTTTTTTACTTTACTTTTTATTGTTATTTAAACCTTATAACAATTAATTCACAGTTTATTATTTCACTACATAATTGTGTGCCTTTTTATTTAATCTCGATATCTGATGTAACCAAATTCTTAAAGTGGCTAATTATTTTATGATATGATCCTCCTCTTTGATTTCATTAAATTATGCACACGATTAATTTGAAAGAAAAATATATTTTGTAGCTTTTTTATTGTTCTTTCATAATTTTTGTTTGAGTTTTTCACTGTTAAGCGGCTCATCAGGCAAATTTGGCTATGTGTTTTTTCCATATTTTTTCTGGATAGACAGATCCTAAACAAAATGTTTTTGTGCATCATACTCGGCTTAAATATTCCTTATTGCTTTTATACATTCCGTGGTTGAGCATGCATCGTTATCAATAAGATTTCCAATGGCATTTTATATGTTGTTTTTGGATTAAAAATATGCATACAACCATTTGTAATATTTAAAATCGTCATAGAATAAGTACTTATAGATATTTTTCATAAAAATATTTATTTCTTATATTTTTCAGTCAGCTCCCTTTAAATTTATTAGCGAAAAAAAATTGAATAAAATGTCATCACATTCTCCCACTCCCTGTAATCCAGAATAACTAATTTTCCCCGAAGCAATTTTTTTCACTTTCGAACTTAAGGCTGGTAATTTAATTTCAGAGGCTTGAATTTTACGTTTTCAAGCCTATAAAAAATTGAATTCAAACAGTAGCATACATCAGTAACAATTGTTAGCAGATATGTGATGAACATACATAACTAACATAAATAAATAAATGCAGTTAAAGTACTATTATAAATTTATTAGTAAAAACATACTAGAATTAAACATAAATTGTAAATATTCATAATTTACATTTCATAAGCCAATTCCATATGTGACTTGGTAACCAATTATCAAATACTACAACAAAATATTATTAATACTTATTCTAACTACACATATAAATCTTCTATGCCTTGATGATTTAAAGCTCGCAATTGACATTTACATAGAAAAGCCATTATTCTTCTTTCAATCCGTTCTCTTGAGTCACCATCAAATCCCATATATAGTGCTTCTATTCTACGAATAGTGTCTGTAGTGTCCTCAACAATGGTATCTTCTGTGCCCACAATCTCCTCGGCAATTTCCTCAATTATTGAAAAGGAATCAGAAAATTGTTCCTCTAATTGATGTGTTCCCTCATGTTCGGTTGTGTGTAATTCAATGTGGAAATCGCTTCCCATATCGTTGTCTTCTTCATTATCTTCAGGCATTTTTGAATTAGATTCATCCGATTCCCAAAAATTGTTAGCTTCTTGCAATAAATCGGGAATTTCCTTTGGTTTACGTTTTCTCTCTCTTTCCTTTTTTGGTTTATAGGCTTGCACAGTACACTCAAGAAAACGCATTCTTTCCAGGTATGGCCATGTCGAACCACGAATGACACCACTTTTGGGACACAATTCATTGCAGTGTTTTAATTCCTTCTGAAATTGTCCTCTCAAGTTGTTCCATCGACTTAAACAGAATTGAACTATGAATAGAAATGAACAATTACTATCCTAATAAGTACTGTTAATGTGTTTGTTACCTGGATAACCCATTTCATTGGCAATTTCTTGCCAGACTTTATTTTTTGTTTTCATTATCTCAAACGAGGACATACCGGGTATTTGTCTCATATATATCACAGGATGAGGTTCAACCAGCGATATTAACTTGAAATCAAATGGCCGATTCTTTTTATGACTTGTTTTGGTCATTGTTTTTATATTTTATTTACGAGTAAAATATAATGTCCAACAATTACAAAATTCTCAAAACGTAAACAAATGCGCTATCGATAACCATATGTTAGGGGTGATAATTCCGACGCCGATTAACATGCTGGACAGAACAGTGCTGACAACATTTAAAATATGATCAACTATGACTAGGGGTATTCACATGGTAAACGTGAAATAACACGGTTTGGGCTATATTTACATTGAAGTTGTTATAATAAAACGCGTCATTTACATTGTCCATTGCCTCGATAATACATGGAATAAAATACGTATACTCGTAAAATGCATAATATAGGTGAAAATGTATTGAATGTTTCATCAACTAAATGAGAAACTAATAAAATTGTGTTCTCTGTTCCCGTTCTGCAAAAACCTTCAAGTTTTTACTATTTTTTCTATATCATAAAGGAAAATTAGTTATCGTAGTTTGCAAGGCACATATATTAGGTAGTCGCATCAGCGAATTACTACAACAAAGCACTTTTTGGTAACATAATATGTCAACATTTGTAAACAAGGCAAATAAAATCAATTCACCTTGAAATTTCAAAATTTAGGCGAATTTGATTCAATCAATCAGAAAGAAATGTTTTTATACCTTACAGAAGTCTGAGTCGACTTCTATTGGTTTTGGTAGTGACCGGTTTATATTTAGAGGCCACAATTATGACCCAAACCCAGGAAATTACGGAGACCTAGATCTGGCCTACGAATAAATATGACCGTTTTCATTATAATCCCTCAATATTTAGCGGGTCAAATAGATATTATTTGAAAAATCGCTAAATTTGAATTGTATGGTTGTACATATTTACTACTGAAAGATATAGATTAATAGTGAATCCAAGAGAAGTGGTTGAATTGTATAAAGACTGCAATTGTATTAATGTATGTACACAGAGGTGGTATTTATAATTAAATATTTACGGGCACTACATATTCTGGAATTATCGAATATTAATATTATCGCACATTCCAATATCGGGCCGATCGCTACGAGACCGCATAAACTTCAAAGATGTCACAAACGATGATGACACAAAATCTTTAATTTCTCTCTATTTTTGTAATAGTTCATATACCACCAAATTGTATATGAGAAATGAATCTTGGCAATAAATAAACATGCATACATACGGTTCACTGGTTTTTAAAATTAGATGTATGAAGATGGTGGAGAAGTTTTATGAAGTGTCAATTGTTTACTCCCTTTTAAAGTGGAGTGTATATTCCATTTGTCATAGCCCTTTCGTTCAGCCTCATTTCTTGTAGCTTGGGCATGTTACATCGGAAACTACATGAAATGAGTCGTGCAGCTACAAACTATTAACATCGATGTGAAGGGTATAAAAACATTTTGTTATGATTGGTTGAATCATTTCTTATAAATAAAATTCACATTATGGGCTCTTGGAGTGTTAAAAACACCTTTCAAGAAAATCTTTCCTGTTTTGATGTAACCCTCATATAAAATTCCTGTCCATTTTAGGTATTTTGGTTCTCTCGAAGTAAAATTGAAAATAAAATCAAGAAACATCAATTTTATTTACAAAAATTAATTTATTTTTAAGGCGAATTAAACATTACAACAATTTGTTTTGACATTCAATGTTACAAACAATTGGGTCGAAGCGACTACCTAATACATCTACCTTGGTAGTATGTAAAAAGTTGTAGAATCGGGAACAGACCAAATATAATATACTGCAAAAATCGACTACTTTTTACTATGATATCGAAGAAAATAGTAAAATCTAGTAGATTCTTGCAGTACGGGAACAGATCAATCAATTTACAATGAATCAAATAATTAACTATTTCTGTAAACAAATTTCGAATTAAATATGTACTAATAAGCCACAAACTAGGAGCGATGTACGTTTTCTAATGCACATGTCGTTTTAGCTTCATAATTAGATAATATGGACCGTAAATTGATTGGGATAGAATTACGAGTTATATGACAGGGAACTTAAAAATATAAATTATTTAGCAATTTTTGCCACTGAACACATGATATGAGTACATTTCGAAGGAAGATATTTTTATTTAAATTTTGAAAGCTGCATACTGTCAAAGGCAAATTTATGAAAAAAATTGGAAACATATGACTGCAATTTTTTTTATAATTTTACTTTCGACAACATTCGGCTTTCAAAATTTAAATAAAATGTTCAGTGGCAATAATTACAAAATGTTTAATATCTTGAAGATCTCAGCTTCTATAATTTATGAATTTATGGTGTAACATCTATACTTATATCTTAAGAATAATAAAAAAATAGATATTTATTTACGGAAAGTATAAATTTTTATTTTTTTAAAAAATATGCCATTCGACATGCATACAATTTTATGGAATTTCTTTTTCAAACAACTTGAAATGAAAAATGAGTTCCAAAATTAAAAAGAGTTGTCATTATTAATTTCTCAAATGAGACTACCTTCTGTAATTATGCCATGGTTTTACCACTGAACACATGCTATCCGTACATTACGAAGGAAGGTTTTTCATTTATATTTTTAAAAGTGAATGTTGTCAAAAGTAAATTTGTCTGCATGGGACTACCTTGTGTAATTATGTCATGCATGTATCGTTAATATGTAATAAAACTTTAAAATTTCCTCGAACCATTTGTGCAAAATTTACGCGATTCACCTGTCGCTCCTGGTTCATTTCGGATTACGACGAGATCATTTTCGGCATATTTACGTGGGGTAGAGTGTTTGCTGTCAAATCGGAGTTTCCATTTTTGTCGTTGTTTTGCTATATTCTCTTGAGCGATCATTTGTTTCTCTTCGGGTGGTCTTTCATCTTCGTTTGGATCCATGTCATTTTGAATAGCATTAACTAGGTGGTTCTGGACTACGTGGTTAATTTTAAAATTGAAAACTAATTCGTTTGGAGTAAAACCTGTGGTTGAATTGACTTGAGAATTTGATATCCATTGAAGTTCGTTTAGTCTCGTATCCCAGCTCTTCGGGTCATCTGTTGTCGTTCTCAGGTAGTTCAAGATAACAGCGTTTGCCCTTTCAACTTGACCGTTTGCGCGAGGGGTACGTACAGCAGTTTTAATATGTCGTATATTATGTTCGTGGCAATAGTTATCAAAGGCGTTAGAATTAAACGCTGTTCCTCTATCGGTTATAATTTTCTTAGGAACTCCAAAATAACCAGAGATTTCGCTTAGGGCATTTATCACGGGAGCGGTTTTTGTTGATTTAACGGCTTTAACAATCAAAAATTTTGAAAATGCGTCAGATATCGCCAAAATATGAGTATTTCCTCTTTTAGATCGTATAAACGGTCCTAAATGGTCTATGTGGATCAAGTAAAATGGTATCGGTTCTGGCGGATCAAAATGCATACTGCCTTCCGGTTTACCTCCTTGATTACGATTATAACAACAGGTTATACATGACTGTATGTATTCCTTTACATATTTTCTCATCTTTGGAGTGTCTTCTCAGTAGCAAAATGTCCTAAGTCGTCGTGGAAATATTTAACTAGTCTCCATCTTACTGCTTTCGGCACAACAAATCGTAGTTGAGTACCCATTTTACGATACAATCGATGATTACATATCTCATAGTCGGCACGCATCTGACTTTCTTCTGGCGACGTCAATTTTCCTGATAATACGGCCATAATATGATTTATTCTCTTATCTTGTAACTGCATTGTCAAAACCCAATCGTTAATGTCTTCGTCGATCGTAAAAACAAATCCGGCAGGTTCCACGTTTTTAGATGGTTCGTCTGGCATTCGACTTAAAGCATCAACGTGAGCTAATCGACTACCTGGTCTATGTATGGGTTCAAAATCATATTCTAGTAGCTTCATCCACCATCTAGCAATTCTCGATTTTAACTCTTTCTTTTCGCGCACTTTTGCTATTGCTGAACAATCCGTTATAAGTCGAAAATGCTTTCCCAACAAATATATTCTAAAACGCTCTAACGATTCAACGACTGCCAACACTTCCAGCTCATAACTATGGTACCGCTGTTCATCTTCCGTGCAATGTCGACTAAAATAGAAAACAGGTTGGTACTGCTTTCCGTCGGTTGATTGAAGTAAAATTCCGGCTAATCCTATCGCACTAGCGTCGGTATGTAGTTCGTGAACTGCATTTGGGTCATATAAAATCAATACGGGCGCATGAATTAATTTTTCCTTCAACATTTCGAATGCCGTTTGTTGTGATTCTTCCCATTTAAAATTCTCTCTTTCGGTTTTATGCGTCAATAGAGTTAAGGGTTTCGCAATTAATGAATAATCCGGCACAAATTTTCGAAAAAATCCTGTTAGTCCGAGGAATCTTCTTATTTCAGTCACATTGGTAGGTTCTTTAAAGTTTTTAATGTCTCTTATTTTCTGTTCTCCTGGCTTAATACCATCGCCGTTCACAATGTGACCTAAATAACAAATTTCTCTCTGCAGGAAACTACATTTATCAAGACGCAATGTCAATCCATACTCTCCTAATTTCTTCAAAAACTTTTCGACCAACTTAAGATTTTCGGCTATTGTCTTACTCGGAATGATAAGATCATCTAGGTACGCTAAGATTTCTCCTCTATTCATTTCCCTTTTAATCTGATCAATCATCCTTTGGAAAGACGCAGGGGCGTTTACTAATCCGAATGGCATGCGATTATATTCGTAGTGACCGTCCGTTGTTACAAATGCGGTATACTTTTTCGAGGCTTCTTCTATTTCTAATTGATGATAACCCATTTTCATATCGAGCGTTGTAAATATCTGGTTTCCGGCTAATTGGGCAAATTGTTCTTCCAAAACGGGCATAGGAAAAGGTGTTTTTACTGTTTTACTATTTAATAATCTGTAATCAACGCATAATCGACTTTCGCCATTCTTCTTCTCCACCAAAACTACTGGGGAGGCATACGGAGAATTTGAATATCGAATAATTTCGTATTTCAGCAACTCATTTACGATATCAGATACTATAGCTCGTTTTGCGAAGGGTATACGATATGGTTTCAAGCATATTGGCTCATCTGTTTTTAGCTGTATTGTCATCTTGGCTATTGTACATCTACCCAATTCTGCAATATTAAAGGCGAAACACTTACGGTTACTGGATATTATCGTTTTGAGATTGGATAATTCGTCTGGGTTTACCCCGTCACTTATATTGATTTTATCATCAGCTTCTAGCCAGCATTCATCACCTTTAATTACGAATTTATTTCCTTCGCGGCACAAAATATCTCGTCCAAGCAAAACGTCTTCGGGTAAGAGTTCGTCTTTAACTACATAGAGATCTGAGTTCAATACACGACCATCGATATCGAGTGACGTATTAACTTTTTCGGTGCATACATATTTTCCACCTGCAAAACCGGTTAATGGTCTAGAACATTTTTTTACATTGTTCATTTTGTTTACAAGAGATGCACGAATCAAACTTATTGGACTTCCCGAATCAATCAGCGAAGAATGTTCGTTGCCATTCACTGTAACCATTTTAACGAAATTGTCATTTGGATCTTTCACCGCTATTTTATTTACATTTATATTTGTCTCGCTTTTACGTTGTCTGTAACAGTTTTCACTCTTATGATTTGTTTTGTTGCAATGCACACATCTCTCTTTTCTCTGTGCTTCCGGACATTTTATCGAAATGTGTCCTTTCTGACGACAATTATAACACTCAATATCACGAGCACTAGGTTTCTCTTCTTTCTGTTTACTTTCCTTATTATATTGATAATTCGTTATGTTTCTATTTTCGTTTTTAAATTTCCCGTTACTGTCCGTGTTTCTATTTCGATTGTACGTGTGTTCATTTTTAATGGTATTATATTCACAGTACATATTTATGTCTTTTAACAAATCATTTAATTTTTGGTAATTCTTACAAATCACTTTTCTCAGATCGCTATCGTTGATGCCGTTAATTATGTGATGAGCAATGTCTTCTTCTCGTAGACATCCTCGGTTTCCGATTGCCATCATTTTATAAAAATATTCTTGTGGAGTTTCGTTTGCAAGTCGGTGCGAATTTGAAAGTTTTATATGAACACTTGCCGCATTCTCCTCACAAGGAAAAACAAGTAAAAATTTGTTCTTAAACTGTTCCCACGTCACAAAGATTTCCTGTGAGTCAATCCACAATTTCGCTGAACCTATCAGCTTTTGTTGAACCACGAATAATATTGCTTTATCGGACCACTTATATGTTGATTTTAACATTTCTATACGATTTATAAACTGTTTTGAATTCAACGATGTACCAACCAATGGGTTAAATTCTGGCAAGAAAGAGGCAACATCACTAATATTGTCATTTGAGTTTTCGACCGTACTGTTTTGGATTTGTAAAACATTATTTAACGATTGTGTCGAGGGACACTCATTTTTGTTCACATAATTTTGATTTTTCATGTTCGTTTGAACTACTGAAATAAGATCTTTCATCATATTTGCTAACACTTGGTTTTGCAACATCTTGGCACTGTCGTCAGCCATTACGTCGGATGTTGCAGAATTATATTCTGAACTTTCAGTAGAAAGCAAAATTTCGTCACTTTTTACTGCTTCGGTTAATCGTTGGGCTAATTCAGCTTTTATACCCGAACACGGCAACTCTCGTTCTCGTAGGAGGTCTTTTAATTGTTCGACTTTTAATTCGTTTATTTTTATCATTTTCAATTTTTGTTTATAACGTCTTTTTCCTATAATTTATATTTTGGCCTCGTCAAAGAATTTTACGATATTCTTATTGCGTTTCTTTTCTATATTTCTTAACGGTACAACTATTCTTTTCTCGTTCCTTTGTTTCGATTTTTTTTATGATTCGTACTTGCACATAACACAAGAAAAAACGTCAGTTGAGTCAACGGCGATACAAACACAGCACTATTTACACAAACAACATTTAACACATATTAGTGCATCGTCGAGTCTGTTCGATCAAACCTATTCGTTGTTTGCAACATCTAACGGTAGCATCCATCGTTTATTGTGCGGTAATGATCATTAACTCATTTTTGAAACGTTAAAAGTTCTTGGATTTTTGTTTTCTTTTCCACACACGAGAAGTTTTTTTACATAAAACACACAAACATTCACTTTATGATTTTTTTTACGATACGAGTTCTTCTCTTACAACAATTCGACATGCAAGAGTATTCCACTTCTGAAATAATATGTCAAGGACAGTCTGGATGTTGAGTGGGTAGACCTTCTTAACTAAGACACTTTAGGTTATATTATCAAAAGAAATTATGTTTATTAAATTTATAAAAAAAAAAACATAGAATATTTTAAAACACAAAACGGATAATTCATTTAAGGATGGTGCTTTTGCGCGGAGCTTCTCGTTTAATGGTTTCGACGGACTTGAACAGACTAACTTCTTTTCGTCATTCCTCTTCTAATTCTCGCTTGCTTACAACCTCAACCAAAGAATAAGGGTGAAGGATCTAGAGATGCCATACAGAGATTTTAAGTAGGGGTTGCCGTGCGTGACAATGGATCTCATGCATAAACACGAGCAAAAGCGATGAGTTGAGTCAAGTAAGCAATTGCTCGTAAGTTGAGTTAGATCGAACAGCAACTGCTTTTGCTTAATTTCGTATGCATAAAAATGAGTTCAAACCAATTGCAAATACTTGAGCAAATTGAGATCAAACTTCTAATTGTTATTAAAATGCAAACATGTCGTCAAGTGGAAGTGAATTAGAAGTAGTAGTAAACACTAATAATAAAATAAAAACCGACGGCATATCTGCATTTTTAGTACAACAAAAATTAAAGAAAATAAATATTTACTTGGAAAAAGTCAGTTGCCAAGTGTCAACGAAATGAAGCAAACATTTGTAATAGAAATAATGGATTATATTATTATTATTAGGGTTTATATTTTTATAATCCGCACCATAAGGCGGAGTGCATATACGCCACACATCGAAATATTTGTCGAAGACCTCCTAAAGTATATGTATTTTCCGTGATCAAAATCAATTATATCCATACCCTGTTGAAACCCGAATATTTGCAAATATTTGGCTAATATTCCTCAATTTTTCATTCCGTTTATAACATCTCGAAATATTCCACTGAGACCCCATAAAATATATACACTGGTGGCCAAAACTAAAGAAAGTTTTTTTAAGAATATAAACGTGACATTCATTTCGAAATAAAAATAAATTCTATGGAAAACTACATTGACCCAATTTTGATTTTTTTTCTTTTTTTATAAATAAGCAAATTTAGCTAATAATCGACAGCAAAACCGTTATTTTTGATTACACCTACGAGACATTGAACCTATACGATCCAAATTTTGATCTTTTGATGCATTATTCCTCACATCCTGAACCTTTGGGAAGAGGTTATGTTTGTTAGTGAATCCCTTTGAATTTTGCTATCGATGATGATCCAAACATTTTTCTATAGGGTGAAGATCTGATGATTGTGTTGGCCATCATAAAATCCGGATTTTAGACTCCCGCAACCAATCGTTGACATGTTTTGGTTTATGTTTGGGGGTTATTGTCAAGCTTCAACACAAAATATTCATTAAATGTTTTTCCAAAATAATTTTCTGTGATAAATTATGTTCACAATCACTGATAATTATTCCTTTTAGTGTACGCGAGTCAACTAAGAGGCATGCTCAACAAAAGTTAAGCAAGAGCTCACAAAAGTAAGCAAAAGCTTGTTTTTATGCATATGAAAATGAGAACAATCTCATCCAACATCAATTTCTAAGTTCAAACTGAGCAAGAAGAGATCAAACCTGGGCAGTGAGTAAAAGCAAATACATCAAATTTTATTATGCATACGACAAGCACCTTTTACTCAAAAAATCGAGTCCGAGCTCAAGTTCAAGTTTTATGCATGAGACCCAATATGTACGATGTTTAAATACCGTAGTATTATTGTATACAAACATTGCATTGATACATTTTGGAAGTCAGCCACAGTGTGTATTTGATCTAAAAATATGTTACAGTTTTCTTTACAAACCAGCAGCTATTATGAAAGAAAAACTGCCGTTTTTAAAAATCCATTTTTGTGTTTTTTTTTTGTTATCAGGTAATAGGGGCCCAGCTCCAAACGAACAGTATACAGTATATGAAAAGTAACAATATCTGTATTTGTTAAAAGTAACAGAGTAGGTGTACTTAAAAATGTCAGATTATAATTTGTACTTACTTAATATTATACCGATGAAAAAGAAACTACATTTCACCTGTTTTTTTTTAATTTTTATTGTTTCTTGATTTCTTTATGTTTAGCTGTGATCATCTTATATATTTTAATGTTTTCTTTTGTGTTCTATAATTTGTTGGTTTATTTTTTTTTTCATGTAATTTTTCACAGTTCACAACCTTACAAAATGGAAAGAATAAAATGTACTTTCTGTTTTGAATACATCTCTAAAAATGATGACATTTTTTGTTCTTAACCATAAGTCCCGTCGGTGGTTGGAGGACGGCCGTTGATGTGCACACGTTATAAGATCACCAACAACAAAAATCCTTACATCCTGCCACCATAGAACAGGTTATTTCCAAACACATTGAGTTCGGATCAAAACATTTTGATTTTGTTCGTTTAGAATAAAGTATTCAATTGGAAAATAAAAATCAAATAGGACTGTGATTGTTCAATGTTTTATAATCTGTATGCAATCATTGTTTGTAACGTATTTGTTTAAACCTAAATTAAAATAAATTGGGATTACATTGTGATCTTGTACAGTCTTAACTTCAAAATATTCTTGAAATTAGAAGACTTAGTTTTTTTCATTAATTTTAAATTTAGGTGCTAAAGTAGATTGTTAATATTTCGTACTTTAATTATTTGATTCCAAGGAGCTGCTTTGGCTCAATGTGTTTGTTGTATGTGTGTGTGTGTGTTGTTTTTTGGAGGGGATTTGTTGGTTTTCACAAACATTAAAATTAAATTTTACACATATTGATTTGGCACATTATACATGTTTTGTTACTTTTCTTTCATTATTATAATTAAAACTACATTGATACGTATTTTATTGAGGGAAACAATGTAAAAAATAATTATTAATTAATTAAAAAAAAATGTGTAAAGAAATTAGAATAGAAACAAATTATAAAAAAATAAAAAAAGGATTTTTATTGTTTGCTAATTCTGAAAAACGCATGAGAATCACTTTCAGATATATCAAATGCACTTAAATTTTATTTCAGTGAATCACAGTGAAATTTATGAAAATGTATTAAATATATACCGAAATATCAAAATTTAAAATTGGAAAAAATTTTGGTTGCAAAATGATTGATAAAATCGTTTATTTAAATGGGAGATACTTTAATTTTGTCTGCACGTTTTCCAAACACTGGTTATTGGCTATTTCATCGAAATAGAAAAATTTTGAATTATTTATAAATAAAAATTTAAAGTATTTCAATATTAGAAACGGTGAATGTAATACAAACAAAATATAAACATTTAGAATGTACCTAATTATATACAATGTAAGAAAAAACGTAGGTATATTGAATTTTGTAATAAGACAGAATTTTATTTTTTGAAACTCTTAAAACAATTTTAAGATATAATAATCAAGGAAATGACAAAAAACGTCAACTAAAAATTACAATTACAGCAATATTTGGGAAAAGAAAGAAAATGATAATAAAATGAAAGAACTTAAAAACTAATTTTTTATATTGTGTATATAAGTTTTGTAACTTTATATTATATATTTTTGTTTTCATATTGTGTTGTATTTTTCACATTTTCTTTTATTTTATAAATGTTTTGTTTTGTGTGTTTTTTATTTGATAAAAGCTACAATTAATTTGGCAATTGATGGGTTTGATTTGTTTGTTTCTTTCTTTCTTTGTTCTATAGAGTTTTATTTTGTTATTACTGAAATTGTTTACTTAAAATCGTAAAACTACTTCTATATACTTCTTTAATTTTATAACTATGAAAATATAATGTTTTATGTATGTATATTTATTAAAAAAACTAAACAAATTAAAAAATATGAGGATATAATTGGAAATAAAATTCATTAAAATTATAATTATATAGTATAATAAAACAATTTCTCAAATTTGTTCTTTGTTTGCTTGAGTATATTATATTATTAAAAATAAACTTTGGCTTTGTTGTTTTATAAGAATTATAACATTTTTCTTATAATTTAGTATTTAAATTAAAGAAAAAATACTATAACATTGTTTTTGTCTTAATTAAAACAAATAAATTCGAAAAATAAATGTTAACACAGAAACAAATATTCTTTTTTTGTGTTAGGATTTTCATTATAAATTTAATGTGCCTAATTTCGATATTATTGTTGATGGTGTGAAGAATGTTAAGGAGGACGATTGTTTACCTGTGTTTAATATTTTCATTTAAAACTATGAGCATTTTATCATTTTCGTTTAAAATTTCTTTCATATTGAGCAATCAGTGTGTCGTTAAAGTTTTGAAAAAATAGTGAATAACATAAAACTCTTCATTGTGAACCTAAAGAAGCAATTGAGGACCCAAATGATGTCGTTGGATACTTTGTTAGTATCGCATATTTTTCTAAATGAATTTTTGAATGCAAAATATTTAATTACTCGTGAAAATTATGTTTAAATAGGCAACAATCTATAATTATTATCGATAAAGATATAGGCAGTTAACACCTCTTAATATGTTGTTGTACGGATTTTTCGAACAGATTTATATGTATTATATTATTAGAGTGTGCTATTTTTTAAAGTGATATTAAATATTCCAATTTGAACTTTTTTTAGTTTTTAATACATTTGGTCTGTTCTCGTACTGCAAGAATCTACAAGATTTTACTATTTTCTTCGATAACATTAAGGAAAATTCGCTATCATAGTAAAAAGTAGTAGATTCTTGCAGTACGGGAACAGACCAATTGTGTACATTTAAGAATATTCAAATGAAAATCTTTAGTGTTTAGAAAACGTTTCTTTTTGGGTCCTCTTTAAGGTTTTTGCATAAGAAAAAATAGAAAATAATGTGCTTTTTTTAAAACATTTGCATAAATACGTTTTTGGTTAATTGTGTTTTGTAAATTCAGCAATTTTATATTCAAAAAATAACAAATATATTTAAACATTAAATTTTTATGAGGAAGAGCTTTATATTTGCTTTTTTTAATTTAAAAATATATTCACTTTAGTTTTTAGTTTGTATTTTAGATATATATTTTTGTTTTCATTTATGTATGTATGTATGTACACAGTAAACAATTGCACAATAAAACATTTACGTTTTTTTTTTATTTTTAATACATTCAAACATTTAAAATAGAAAATAATTAAACACATTTAGAGAAATATTTGTGTAGGGTTTTCTAGTTCAGTTTCTTTTAAGGGAGATTGGAAATTGAGATAACTGTTTAAAGGGTAGGGACTATAATAATTACTTTCTTAATAGCTAAAGAATATATTTATAATATTTATGGCTTTCATTTCTTATTATTTTATTTTTAATAATTTGAGCATGTTTGTGTGTGTGCTATAATTATAGTTTTGTTTTCTTAGATTTTCACAATAGTTTTTTTTTTTTTACTTTGTAAATAATTTTAAAGTAGCTGTCTTATATAAAATTATATTTATTTATTTCTTATTTGTTTTTAATCTTTGCTTCTTGAACACACTCATACATTTATGCGCATTTTATTATTTGTAAGTTATGAATGGTTTCTTATTTTATTTTGTGTTTTTTTTTTTTAAGAAAGAAAATATTAGAGCGAGTTTTGAAAAAATGTTTTTAATACGAAAATGTATAGAGTATTTTCATTGTTGTTTAAAAATATAGTAGATTGCTTTTTTTAATAAATTCTTGTTGCTTTGTTTGGAAAAATATTCATATTTGTTTTGTTGTTTTCTTTACGAAGAAAGGAAAATAATAAAAATTAATATGAAATAGCTTAACTATTTAGGGTTTTAAATGTTGTAATATTTGTTTTTGTTGCATTTATATAAATTTTTATTGTATATATCAAGGATATGTCTACGTTTTTCACTAATTTTTTATGTTTAGATTAGTTTTATTTTGTATTTATAAATTTAATATTTTTATGAAATTTTAAAAAAGGAATATAATTAAAAAATGTAGCTGCCGTATAATGATAACTAATGAAAATTCTAAAAAAATATATAAAAAGGAACTAAAAATTAAAAAAAATGAAAATCTAAGTAGTTATTGGAAATAAGACAATCAGATTTTTAATATATGCAGGCTTCGTCTTTTACTGTTCTTTTCAATGTTTGAAAAGTTGTGCACAATTTTGTGTAAATTCTATTAAAAAAATCAGAAATTTTAACAAGAAATTTCAAAACATGTTCAAATATCGAACATATAGAGTCTCACGCATGAATGTATTCAAAATTTTAATTCTTTGGCTTCTGTAAAGAATAAAAAATACATTTTAGTCCATTTCGAATGGAAGACAAAATGGCCCCAAATAGAGGTTCATTTGGAAGGTTTGTTAAAACGCAAACTTCTAAAATATTCCCAAAAGGGCTATACATTTTTCTTCAAATTGGGCTCCGACAGGATGTTATAAATTAAATGATGCGAATTATCTGCATAAATTAGTAGATTTCCCTTTTGTATTTCCACAATAACTACACCTAACGAAAATCGTTCTTGAGTATTTTTTATTTTGATTTTGAAATCAAATTAGCTTTTGCCATGAGTATTTTATATTAAAGAATTGAGTATTTTGTAATTCTACCTTGAGCAGAATTTAGTTTAGTTTTGAGTTATATTTTCGAAAAAAATATTAATTAAAAGAAAAAAACTGTACAGCATAACTTTGTATTGATCATGAAAGTGGTGATAAATTGTTAGAAATCATGTCATAACATGCTAGTATTATTTTAATCCAAAGTGATATTATGTTTATCAATTGGGTTTGACTGGGATTGATTATTTTTTCCACTTTTTCCTTAAAAACTATTTTTCAGGAAAAAAGAAGTTTGGACATTGGAAATAAAAGTTGTTTTTATGAATAAGTAGTTTTAAAACATTTACATCCAACATATGTATATTTCGGATCAAGTTTTATTAGCACTACAAATATTGATGTAGTATGGGTTCGAATTATGGTTCTTTACATAATGAAATATTTTCAAATACATTTGTATATCTTTTCACATAAATACCAAATATTAATATTAGTTAATATGGAAAGAGTAAATATTTGATAAAAACACATAGAATTTATAAATTTTGATTTGTGGTCAAAATAATATATATAAATATACACATTGGCATGTAAAGAAATGTAATACAAGTAGGCCCAAAAGCCAAGTTATGCTGTACAATAACGTTTTTCATTTGTAATTAATTTCTTTGCTTTGAATTTATTTTATTCCTAAGTAAAAGTAAGGACAATAATTGAAGACATTTTTTGACATGAATGAATATAAACAAATTATAAAATAATAACAATCTAGCAAATTAATAACTAAAAAATATTAAAAAATAAATATACCTGATATGAAAAAGCTTATGCTGCCATTTTCTTTGTAATGATTTTAAAGAATTTTTTAAAAATAAATCTTCTTGACTAAATTTTGATCAATAATGAGTTTGATTTTCTTCGACATTAAAGAAAAAAATATGCTGTATCAGTTCAGCAATTTGTGGTTGTGTTTAGCTGCTTTGCTTGGGGAAGATAATGTGTGTGTTTTTTTTTTGGCAAAGAGGTAAAAATGAGCATGGCCTACAGGCTATGTGCCTTGAGTCGCCTGGCATTTTTAAGCAGTTTTATTAAAACTAGATAATAATGTCATGTCTGATACCAGGATGTACCCAAGAGCGATGTATTGGCCATAGACATTCGGGTTTTGCAGCCATATATAAGTGTAGAAATATTTATATTATTATTTATATATAATCAACAAAACAGAAGCCCTAAAATATTGTGTGTGTGTGTATTTTTGAGTTTTATCTTTCGATTATTTTTGGTATAAATCTATTAATAATTAATTTCCTTAATTAATTGTATTTTTTGTTTGTTTTTTCTTTTGTGTGATTTTTTTTCTGTTGTTTTTTTTAAATACTACAAAATTTTTGTAAATTGTATTTGCTGGACGACATTGAATTTGAACAAAACTACTCTCGTAATGTTTTTCTCTTATTTTTTGCTTTAAATTTCTATATAAATTATTTTGTTTTGTGTCTTGTGTGTGTGTGAGCGTTTTTTGTTTGGTATTTTTTTTTAATAAAATTGTTTTTTTTTTTAATTTTTATGATTTTATCTATTCGGTTTAAGATGTTGTAATTCCTCCTGGTTTGTTGTGTTTCAATTTCTGGATTTGTCGTTTTAACTAAATAGATGTTGACGTATTTCTTTGTGTAGGGATGGTGATGTTCGATCTCTTTCTATTTGTTGCATGAGTATTTTTACTGGAGGCATTTGTTCTTGTTTGAGCATTTGTTAATATTAAAATATAGGGGGTTTTCAACAGTGTTTGTTGCAACCAATAATATTTTGTTCTTGTTTGTTGTTGTTGAGCATTTTGTGGTACAATCTTCAATATGCAACACTTTGAATTTAATATGGTGTAAAGCGATTGAATCCTCCGCGATACATTGTTGCCTGTAAAATAATTAAGTAATCGTTTATTAATCACAGAATGATTATAATATTAAAATGTGTTATTAAATATAACATTATCGAAAATTTCAATTATCATTTTAAATTTTTTTTAATAAATTAAAATTTCGTATTTTTTATATTTATATGGAACAAAAAAACTTACCCCATATCCGGGCACAGGTCCAATGCCATGTCCTAAATAAGGATCAGCATATTCTCGGGCATAGCTATTTGCATAAAATAAATAAATAAAATGAAAAAATTTGCAATTTGAATAAGAGTTCATACAATATTTGATCGATTAGATGCTATGGGTATTAGTTGCTTTAAAATTTATAGATTTATGGCGTTAATTTTCGAGAGTTACGATTTCGTTTTCCATTGGTTAGTTGATGATTAATGTTGTTGTTGTTTGTTAATAATTTAATTTTAAGTTCAAACTGTCACAATTCCAATTTTTAGTCAAAGTTGTTAATTTTGGTTAGGTCTTTGCAAAAATCTTCTAGTAAATTTTTCAATTGTTCTGTTTTTCGTATTTTGCTAATGCTACAGAAACAAAAAGAAAATATAAAACAAAAATAATAATATTGAATGTTAGTAAAAAATAAAATAAAACAAATTATAAAAACAATAAAGAAAACATGTTACAATTAATGTAAAACAAAAATAAAAGGTAGGGTTTTTACAAATAAATAATAAACTAATTGTATGAGATTTGTAAATCATAATGATATGATATTACACAGTTAAAAAAGCTGATTTACGTATAAAATTTAAACGTGACTACAAAATGGTTTTAAATACTTTGTAGCACAGTGTATCCATTTAATAATATTCCAAAATATATATACATAGTACATACACCAATTTTGTACGAAATTTCATTTCATGAAAAATTAGAATTTTATTAACTTACCCCGCAACGGTGGCATAACCAGCCAATGCTGGTTGAGCTGCAGCGGCAGCAGCAGCACCATAAGCTGCTCTAGTTGCGGCCACAGCTGTATAGGTGGTGGCGGCCGTAGCATAAGCCTGTTGAGCCTGAGACAAGGGTGTCTTTAACAGAGGAGCAGCAGCCTGTAAAATGTTTAATAAAATTCCAATTAATAATTAGAATTAGACAAACAACAATGTAATGTTAAACAAAGCATACGGCAGTTCTGATAAATTAAAAAAAAGAGGACAATCTGAGGTGAGTTTTGATACAACTTGTTTTGCTTTTTTTTGAGAATAAGTGATAACCAATTGGGTATGGAACAAACTTTAGGCGGGTGGAATTATTATATTTGTTGGTTTTTGTTTTGAAAATTAAAATATATAAATATGCTAATAAAATAAATATGTTTATATGTATATTGTTTGTTTTATAACATGTGTAATTAGTTCATTATCATAAGCTGATTTATATAAGTGAATTGAATTCAATTAAGCCATTAAATACCATTACAAAAAACCATGAATGCAATTTTGATATAACAAATATATGTCAATGGATGTTTTTGTTTTCCACCTTTTAAAAATATATCTGAAGATGCTTCTATTAAATTAAATGCACTTACATAAAACGTAACTATTGGACAGAACTCTAATGCAAAATTGTAAAACACAAACAAACGAACGTACGAACGTTTTATTTTTCATTCCACAAAATACGGTGGTTACCCTTTCACCACTATTGGTTAATCAAAGCCAGTGCTAAAGATTTTAACAATAATAGTAAACAATTTTGAAAATAAACTATTTTTGCTTTGTAAAACATGCTTGCAATATTGCTTCTTTACATAAGTTTCAGTTGAATCTGTTATATTTATTCTAACTGTATTTAGTGATATACTATATTATCAAGTGTATAAATAAATTCCAACACACAGCAACACCATGTCAATGACTGCAATTGAAAAAAAAAAATGATTATACTTAAAACTATAACTACAGTAACATATATTTTTTAAATACAAATAGCATGCTTAGAATTTGGTAATATTAAATGGTAAATTTTTCCATCGATAATTAAATGATAAATTTAGAATTTTCAGCAAACATATTTGTTTTGATTAGAATAATGTCGAAGGAACGTTTAAACACTTTATAAAATATCAATGTTTGTGTAAACAAGACATGACATTTTAGTCTCTCACGTCAGATGCTGTTGATACGTTCAAAACCCATGTTTCGGAGGTTTCTTAATCGTAGTGGAAAAAGTCATTCGATAATTGGTTTAAACGCATGAAATATTATATAAATCATGCTGGAGGATACTTTGAAAAAATTACAGGACCTTAAGTGACAAATATTCGAATAGGATATATATATAGAATATTAGGCCACGTATAAGCCACGGGGAGCACACTACCTATTCATGAAATATTGTTAAAACAAAGTGTTCACGATAGCCTCTCGAATTCTATCTTAAATCGATGATTGACGTCTGGCGCAGACCTACTCTTTTACTTGGCTTAAAATGCAGAAGTCACTATCAGTTATATTACAAGATCTCTTCGAGAGATAACACGGTCGGGAAACGTACTCTGTAAAATGTTCAAATGGAGCTCAGATCAATACCAACCAATTCGACCAAAAACAAAAAAAAAAAAAACTACCAATCCATACTATAAACCAAAAATAATTCTTGGGGTTTTCCGAGCCACAGATGCAACACTTTAGCTTGTTGGCGTAGCCGCCGAGATGGTTATGGGATAGGTATACATAGTCGAGCACAAACGTCGACTCTTAGCCTTTTCGATTTTTGCTTTTGACTAAAAAGTCGACTTTTCGATATTTCCATTTTTTCAAACCTGTTCAAAATCGATTTACGACGTCTACCAACTAACGGAAAAATCGACTAAAAATTTGATTTGTATATGAATTGTTGTCAACAGATAATATAAAGTTCTGGATTTCGTAATTTTAGGGTAAGTTGGGCTTTGTGGTAATAGACCAAGTATTTATGAAGATCTTGAAAAGTCGACTTTGTGATTTCCTCAAAGATCAAAAGTCGATTTCGACCTTTAAATTTTTCAATACAAAAATTCGATGAATCGATTAGTCGATTTACTTATCCCTATGGGCCTAATCAGTAGAAATGTTTTTTTCGAAGGAATTTCGGATGATTCCTATACATTTCTTGGACCCTATAAGTAAATACATGCCGTTGTTGATTGTCCGTCAAACTGAGTTATTGTGTTAGGTTCAAAATTGACAGTTACCGAAATGCCGAGTATATAATCTTGGTCAGGGTAAAATTGCAAGACGGTCTTGTCGCGTCCGTCTTTTTGTAATCACGCTATCTGCGGAAGGAATTTAGATATCGTGTTGCAATTTTTTAAGTAAGTATCAGGTTAGGTTCGACGTTGGGCTAAATCGGTCCACATTTAGGCATTTTTGTCATTTAACGTTATTCAACTCGCAATTAATCTATGTCTATAATAATACAAGAGTTAAGTGATTGACTGACTGACTGACTTAACGATTCATTAACGCCCAGACGAAACGGCTGAATTCCCGGTAGTACAAAATGAAAAAATTCGTTGTTGCAAACATAAATTTACTGTGGAAAATTTTCATTTCGTACTAATGTCTAATATATGGTACGGAATTGGGTTTTGGGTGAACCGATAGAGCTGTAACCTTGACATTTGAAGTTAGATTCATTGTTGTCGGGTAGAATTGAGCTATTTAGGAAGTTTTGAAAATTCCTACTAATGTGAACTAAATTTGGTACAGTTTAAATTTTGGATGATATATGAAGTTTTGGAAATTTGTACTAAATGGTACCAAATGTGGGTTTGGGTGAACCGATTTAGCTGGCATCTTGACGGACTTTGTAGAATGTTTTGGAAATTCGTACTAATGTGTACTTAATTTCGTACAATTTAAATTTTAGGTTAATTAATATTGCTGGAAACCTTGAAATTTGGTAATAAGGTTACTGTTGTAGTGTAAGATTGAGGTATGGATGTAGTTTTGAAAATTCATACTTATGGGTACTACATTTGGTACAATTTTAATTTTGGCTGAACTGATAGAGCTGTGGATACTGAAATTTGGAGTAAGGATCATTGTTGGGTTGTTGGATTGGACTATGTAGAAAGTTTTGGAAATTCGTACTAATGTGTACTAAATGGTACCGAATTTTGATTTGGATGAACCGATAGAGCTGGAATTTTGAAATTTGATGTTAGGATCACTATTTTAAGGTGTAGGATTTGACTATGTGTGTACTAAATGCTACCAAATTTGGATTTGGGTGAACCGACAGAGTTGGAATCCAGAAAATTGGAAGATGGGGATATGTGTGAACCAGTATTAACTGGTACTAAATTTTGATTTGCGTGAACCTATATTTGAAATTTGATATTTATTTCGAACTTAGCATTACAAGAGTTCAAAGGTTAATAAATGATACCAAATTTAATATAGAGATAGATTTCTGTTGCGGTCCGAATTGGCGTGTACCGTTGAGATATGGATGTAGTTTTGGACATACGTACTATAAGAGAATATATATACTTAATAGTTCTAAAATATTAATAATGGTCGGTATTGGTTTTTAAAAACTTCCCACATTCGCTAACGAAGTAAAGAATAAAACCTTCAAAGTGGTAAAATGTTCTACATAAGTGTACTCCCACCCACTCAAGGCTACCAACCAATAACGTCAATAGGTATAATGCTCCCATATCACAAAATTTCCTATAATTTCTGGATTTTGATATTTAGTCCTCTAATTGACATTAATATTTCATTGGTATTGAAGTATCATTTTCGTTAAACTGTATTTAATTTTTTTTATATATTGAAAATACATTTTATGGAAATCTTAAAATGATAATCTACCTCTAAACGATCGTTCTTATTTTCCGGGAGTTTCTTTTTATTTATTTTTAGAAATTAAATACTGTTTAGTAACAAGTTCGACGCTATTTTAAAGAATGCTTCAATTATATGGATGTTTTATGGAAAAGGGGGGAAGGGAACAAGCCAAAAAGAAAGAAAAAAATGATGCACAAAAAACCAAGTGCAATTTAACGAACGAACGAACGAACAAACAAACAAATCACAACAAACAACGAAATAAGCGGATATTGATTTTGTTTCTTTTTTCATATAAAATTTTTACCAAAACATTCTGTGGTACCGGTATGCGGTTGATCGTATGTGGGTGGTGGTTACTGTTTAGCGTTGTCACAGTGCGGCGCTGTAAGTTTTAAGTAAATTTTGATAATGGTATATTTATATACTCGTCTTTTTGTAAGTTTCTTTTTTCTTTGTATATATGTATTTATATTAATATATATATATAGAGAGAGAAGAGATGAATAGTGTTTTCGTTTTGTGATGGTGAACAAATGATGAATGTATATCTATGGTTAATAATACATATAGCAAATCTTACATAGCAATTATTTATATACAAAATAAAACGTAAAATTATAAAAATATTAAATAAAATTTAAATACACAAAAAAAAAAAAAAATAAATAAAATATGTATATAGAATTACAAAAAATAAAACAAGGAATTTAGTAAGGTTAGACAAAGATTATTTCCTAAATAACGCTAGCTAATAACCTAAGGTAGATGTTTTATCTAATATCATGAAATCATGATTTGTTAATGGAGCAACATTTCATCCGCATCTATCTATGCTAATATTTGCAGAAAACATGTCAGAAGAAACTGTTATTGACTCTGGCACGAACTATGAACACTGGTGGCCAAATCCAATGCAACTAAAACTGCGAACTGAATACATGACCTTTAACTATTATTTTGAAAATAAAGTTATAGTGAAAGTTTTTTCAGAAATAAATAGATAATTTATTCATTAAAAAAGCCGTAAGGAAAGTTCAAAAGTTGATCGGGGCCTTCACCAATTTGGGTATTTGGGATGCTCATATATACATTATTCTCTAGATATAATAGACATTATATCTTTGGAGGACCAGACGAAATTAACTACGTGAAAATATTTGATATATATGTGAACTAAAAATTAGTAACTTCAATACGGTATGCAAAATTTTGTCTCAATCGGAAAAAATTGACATAAAATCGGAGCAATATCTAAATATGAACCGATTAAAAAAAAAACTTTGCATACGTCAATCTGCATCTACATTTGAACCGATTTCAACAAAACTTCGGATACATCAATCCGAACCTAATTCAGTACTCTGTGCAAAATTGTGCCTTAATCGGACGTATGGAAGTATGGTGTTCCATTTACATAAAATCGGATGAAACTATCTGAACCGGTTTCAACAAAAATTGGCATATATAAAACTAGACCTAATTCAATACTCTGTTCAAAATGTTTTCTCAATAGGACCAATATTGGTGCTCCAGTTACATAAAAGCGGACGAAAGTATATATGGGAGCTATATCTAAGTCTGAACCGATTTTCTCCAATATCAATAGGGTTCGTCCTTTGGCCAAACAAGTGGCATGTCACAAATTTTATCAAAATCGGATCATAAATGCGACCTGTACTTTGTTCACAAAAATACATGGACGGACGGACGGACATGCATAAATCGACTAAGAAAGTGATTCTATGCATATTCTCAAAAGGAACCATGGGTCTATCTCGATTCCTTTTGCCTGTTACAAACATATGCATATAGACATAATACCACAGTGTGGTGAAGGGTATAAAAAAAAGAAACAACAAATATAATCGCACAATTTATTTAGATATAAAAATATTCTATGGAAAACTAAATTGACGTAATTTTTGTATGGTCAAAACAAAAGCAACTTTTTGATTTTTTTTCTTATAAATAAGCAAAATTTTGCAAGTAATCGGCAACAAAGCCATTATTTTTCATTACGGCAACACATCTACAAGGCATTGAAACAATGAATAAAATACTTGAAAGTTTTGGAAGAGGTTAAGTCTACTTGCTTGTGAAACTCTTTTGATTTTGCTATCTATGATACACCAAAGATTTCTCTATTGGGTAAAAATCTGATGATTGTGATAGCCATGATAAAACTCGGATTTTTGACTCCCGCAACCAATCTTTGACATGTTTTGGTATATGTTTGGAGATTATTGTCAATCTGAAACTCCCAAACAAGCGTTATATTTTCTTCAGCAAAGGGACCCATTGCGTTTTCCCACACATTTGTATAAACAATCCGATCCATTACTTAATAAATCTCGTAAATATATCGAATTCCATAAAAAGAAAAACAGTCCAATACCATTATTGGGCTTCCCAGTAACCTTGCAATATTTTTGTTTCTTGTCTGAGTCTTTAATATTTAACTTTAATTTATTCGAGAGTATAATATTTCCCACCGAGTCGGATTGCAATTAGTACGAGCTTTTGCGAAAGACAATCTGGCTTTCCGATTTTTTCAGAAATTAAAGAATGTTTATGATAGTTTCCGGGCATATATGCCTCGTACACGTTCTCGTACGCTTTTTACTGATATGATCAGTACGGATTAATGTTCTTTTGCAGCCTCTTCCTCCGTGCTGAACATTCACTATTGATATAGTCGAATAAAATCAACTTATAATTCGACAAATAGCTTATTTATTAATGGAGTATTTCTCCGAAATCATTTTCTGTGATAAATTATTTTTACAATCACTGGTAATTAGCTGTTTTATTGGAGTACTGTATTTGTTTCTAACCATTATGTTATTTATTTGGCTGTAGGTCAAAATTGAAAACCAGACTCATGCTATTGTAATAAAATCCATTTAAATTTGATCTATAAGAATCGAAATAGGTGTAGAAACCGAAACTCAGTAATTGTAAAATAATTATAGAGCATCTGTTTGTATTGTACAATTGCTTTAGTTTTGTCCAAGCAAAAAATGAGACAATAACCTTATTCATAAAGTATTATTTATTTCATAATGGCCTTGCAATTATGTTTTTGTTGTTTTAAAGTATCGAGTACTTTAAAACAACAAAAACTCGATCAAAAAACCAACACGATATTTTTATTTTTGAAAATGTTATGCGTCATTGGCCTTGCAATTATGTTTTTGTTGTTTTAAAGTACTCGATTAAAAAACCAACACGATATTTTTATTTTTGAAAATGTTATGCGTCATTTATTAAACTTGCAATTTGAGTTGCTTTAGTTTTGGCCACCAGTGTATATCCCGCGAAATTTTTTTCCTCATGGTGATCGATTTTATTTTCAAGCACATGCTGCTATACCCTATAACTTTATTATTATCCCATCTAACTAAATTTCAGTACTTATTTATGCAATTTTTTTTTAGTTTTGATAATAATCAATACAAATTAAAAGCCATAAACCAAAACCATAAACAAATTACAAAAGGAGAAGAAAGAAACAAATAAAAAAAAAACAAATAAAATTTCATAAAAATACAAAATGTACATTTACAGAAGAAATTTGATGGCAGTCAAAGAAAAAAATTGTTCTTAGGAGCGGATAATTGAGAAAAATACTATTTCTTTATATTAACAAACAAATGAAGCATACTTTCAGGGGGACCACAGCAAAAAGTGTTGTTTTGTTTTGTACAACTAATTTTACAAGGTAATTATAATAAGAATAATAATGATAACAGTAATTTTAGAAAATAACAACAATGACAAAATTAAAATAATGGGATGTGTGAGTCAACGACAAGAAAAATAATAAGTGATGAATGTTTTTCTTTCGTTTTCGTTTTTTTTTTTTCAATGGTGACCATAATTGTAATAAGAATAGTAGTAGTAGATGTGATAATAAATTATATAATAATTACAATACAACTTTTTATAGAATATTTTATATGAATAATAACAATAAAAACAAAACAATGATTACATTTATAATTGCTGCTGGCTGTGCTGCTGGAACTTCGTTGACCGGTTTGGCTGCCTGCAAAATGTTATGTATTTTTGTTTTATATAATTCTTGTTGTATTCGAGTCAAACAAACAAAATCAAAGATAAAAAAAAAACATAAATTGTCTTGTTTAAGACAATAAAACGTACACACACACACACTTACTCTTGTAATTGTGTGTGATTTAAATAAAAAGGAAAACACTTATATCTGAGAGAGACTTAATCTAAATTTGTATTCCTTATTGATCTAAATGATAATAAAATATTTATTACATATATAAAAGTAAACCTAAACAAAGACTTTTGTTTTATAAAACCAATGCACTTACCTGAAAACGTAAGTTGGGATCAGCAGATGCTGCAGCGGCTGCTAGGTATGGATCAAAGTAAACGCTGTGAAAAGGAAAAGTTCGAAAAGACAAATTTGTATTTTTTGTAAACTAAGAAATTCGATGGACTTGTAATTAAACAAGAAACTTAATTTCTTTTTTGGGGGGCATTTATACTTGGAATAGTATTCGTAGAGAGTACTTAAAAGCAAAATTCATTTGTTTTTCTGATGCACGTGTTTTTTCTTTATTTCTTTGAGAAGTCACAATTTATTGGCAAGAGAAGTATTTCTGTTTGTAAATATATGTGTTCGATTTATTTTTCTTTTCCCAATTTCATGTGGTATTCCTAGACCATAAAATTTTCATATTTCTGTCAAATACATGTTTTTCTTTAAATATTTGTAATATACAAGGCTGTTGATGGCTGTTAAAAGAGGGATCCACAGTAGTCCAATCCAATTATATAATCAATTGAATTGCTTCCAGCCTGTGTGCATGTGTTAATTTTACACGTACATGTAAACTCATACTTGGTATACCTTATAAAGTATATAATATAAATTTGCATACAATTTGATGTTTAATAATTTTATAATGTATATAGTTTATAAATACAATTATGATTATACTTAACATAACTTATTTGTATACTATTTTCCATATGTGTTTTTAAATAAAATGTTTTATAGTAATATTTTAAAATATTATTTTGCTTTGAAATTACAATTGTTTTTTATAATAAAATTATAAATTATTCTTTTGCTTTGAAATATTTTGATTTTTTTACTAGACAAAAAGTTAAAAAAAAATCGAAAAAAAACGAAAAATCCAAATTATAGCTCTAGTTATGCGTTTCTCAATAAATATTTGATGACAGAATCTGTCACGACAGTACTTAAAATGATCTAAATTCGAATTGTACGAATTTAACTTTAAACATTATTTTCAATGTTTGTTTTGACAACAGTTTTTTTATCGGGATAATGTGTATTGTTATTTGATAAGGGCGCATTTCCAAAAATTGTAGAAATACTTTGAAGCCGCAGCGACTTTTGAGATAAGGACTAGAAATTACTAAATATTATTATTATATTTATTGAATGTAAATTTGAGAAAAATCTCACCAAAAAATTCCATAGTATGTGATTAACCCTAATGATAATATAGAAAAACAAAACGTGAGCAATGTAAAGATTTTTTTTTCTAAAAAAAACTACTTTTTGTAATAAAAATGTTTGAGTTGGTATAGATTTTAGTCGATTTACTTAATACCAATGGATCTTTCGCACTGATTCTTACAGAAATGGGATCTGAAACAAACGTATGCCATCCATTCGTAGATTTAGAAATGTGTAAACAAATATCAGCTGACAGACTTTAAATCATTTTAATACTAGTCTAAACAGCTAAGATTTATTTCTTCTACTTAAAAAAAAAATGAATCGATTTAGAAGGTGTACACGCTTTTTAAAATATTTTTTTTTGTTTTTTATTCATATAAGCAGGATTTGCTTTTCGTGTTATTCATGGAACAATTATTTATAGTAGATTATATATACTTATAAATTTCAATTTTTTTCATATCGTGACTTATTATGCCAAAGTCGTATACAAAATGTGTGATTGTGTATGAAATGTTTAGAAAATTATAAAAAATATATTCTAAAATCCATTTGTTACAAGATTAATTTTACAACATTGGTAAGAAGAAATATGATGGATGAATCAATATCTAAATGCTCAAAACTTCCTACCTTGTATAATTGTATGTTTCAGATTTGAATGTACTAAATATCCCGAATGAATGGGTATTCTTTTATATATACAAACTATTTGTCATAGCTTCCTTAATAATGGAGTTCAAAGGACTAAGTAAAAGTTGTTCTGAATAACAAATTTATAAAAATATTAACCCCTAACTATATATTATAGCTCCATTAATTATGGAGATCAAATGGCGCGTTTTGAGTACAGCTTTTATCGTGATAAAGGGCATTAGCTCGATTTAATTGCTAGATCGAGCTCATTTTACCATACATTTTACCATACAAAATTAAGGCGCTATTAAATCGAGCTGAATTTACTCCATTTACCACACAAAATTTAACCCACTCAATATCTCAATTTGCACAAAATCTTATGTTAACACGAAATAACTTGGAATACAACCCTGGTTTTTGTCCCTAAAAAAAATCATTTCTCCTTAAAGTGTGCTTTAAAAATAGTTCAAATTCAAAAAATAACTACCTAACAAAAGTATGTCAAAATTTATTTTCTGCTTGTATTCATAATAAATATTACTATAATTTAGAACGACAATGGTTTTTGTGCATTTCGGACCTAATAGAGGGCAATTCCTAACAAAAATATGAAAATATTGATTGACAACAAATTGCTACCGAAATCATGGAAGCAGTGAAATGTGTATGTATACGTAAACAACTAACAGCTGACAAATCAACTTCATTTCATTCTACTACTAGTCTACAAAGATAAGATTTGAATCTCGATTTATAAAGCGACCCGATTTAAAAGGCAGGCTAAACGTGCACTCAATATCTCTATATATCTTGGAATACAACCCTGTCTCTGCATCAAAAATCCTCAAGTATGCTTTAAAATTAGTTAATATCCAAAATAATAAAAAATATGCCAGCTGCTGAAAATTGATTAATTTAATTCAAAAACACCAAATGTCTTATGCATTTCTGACCTAATGGAGGGCAATTACTAACAAAATTATAAAAAATTGCACACAGTGAAATGTGTACGTATACGCAAACAAATAACAGCTGACAAATTCATTTTATTGAATTTTAATACTAGTCTAAACCGCCAGGATTTGATATCTCGATTTACAAATCTAGTCGATTTAGAGGGCATACGGGTATGCTCTGGTAAACACGGTGAGTTTTTTACACTTTACACATACTCTTCTCCTCAGAAGTTAACTCCCTTTCTGCTTCTCACGTTATTTGAAATTTTCGAACTTCTGCACAACAAAGACAAAAATAAACGTTAACATCATACTTTGCTGATGCCAAAAAATATAAATTGCATTCGTTTTTAACCCTTTGACGTATTTCCACGAGTCTGACTCGTGGTACAATAAAACTAGTTGATGCCGTGCACAACATCTAATCTAAAATAAATAGTTTTAGTGCAAGTTGTGTGCTAACAGTTGGAAGCGAACTTCGTTGTCGTTCTGTAATTTTTAGTAACTTCGTTAATTCTAGCGATAATTACATTATAATTTTTTTACATGTACATTAGAACTTTTTGCAGGGTTAACCTACTTTATGATGATTAATAGTACGTTTACATTTAACCGGATTTCGTTAACCCAGTGGGTTTCAATTGTCAATTTCTTTGGATATTTGTCAAATAAATCCTCATAAAGTAGGTCAACCCGGTAAAAAGTTCTAATGAATATGCCGTTTTATTCGGCAAATATTCAATGTAATTGACATTTCAAACCCACTGGTTCAACTAAATCCGGTACAATGTTTATGTACTACCAAGTATATGTATGAAAGACTCTGTAATATCATTATTTTGTTGATTAATTTAAGAGGACCATTTTGTAAACGTATCTTTTCCGAGCTTATTTCAAATCAGCTGTTTGTCATGATGTGTGTCAAGTGACACGCGACTCTAACTATGAAAATTATAGTGTAAGGAATCCAGGTGTAAAATGTGTTATAGAAATGTTCGACGTGAGGCCTTAAGAATATAAGCTTTAACACATTTTGTTGGCTGTGGGCATGAAAGGGTTAAAAAATAGGACTGTACACTTAACCCTTGCACCCATGTGAACAAGAAGAAGTCAGAAATCCGTAGTATTGGCGGCGGTTTATTTGGGATACCATTTGTATTTTGATTTTGGAACATAGTCAGTCTGAATCCCAGTTTGTTGTTTTTATAAAAATTTTTACAAATTTTAATTCATGGAATACCAAAAATCAATGGAATACGAACGAATATAATAGGGTGTAAATAACTTAGACTGTATACAAATATTGGTACTGTATAGATTTCCACCTCAAATATTTGTTGAAAATCGAATAATTTGAGCTGTATTTTTAATTATATATATATATATATATATCCACAAGGTCGATTTTGATACGTGTCTACCGAACAGATTCCCATGATTTATTTTATTTGCTATGATTAAGGAGATAATAAAAAAAAGTATATTATATATTAGGAAGATTACTTTAAATGAGTAAATTTTTTTTGTTAAATTTACAATCAGTTATTTGTTCATCTCACATTGAAAGATCTTTGATCCGTTAAAACGGGTTAGATTGAAGTATTGATTGTATGAAAAGCTTCTACAATAATTTTACAATGTCCACTCGAAACATGGAAACTTCAAATCTGTATCATTTTGCAAAATCAGTTTGTATTCATATATCACAAAATATAGGAATTATTTAAACATTAAATGAACATAACCTAAGTATTTTAGATTTCCAGTGATATATATGGGCAATATTGCCAATTTTTTAATATTCCATTTTCAAAAAATCAGCTTTTTTGTTTTTGTGGCACATCTATGATTTTTGGTACGCATATAGAGAAAAATGTTCTGACTCCGAAACCGTTCGCGATCAAATTTTTGGTTGATGCGCGCAAAAGTTATCGAGGTTTTAATTTTGGGCATAAGAAAAAAATCTTAAAATTACACCGTTTATTATATTGACCAAAAACGTTGATATATATCTTCCTCCGTAAAATAAGAATATGAATATATTATAATATTCGCGAAAAAGGTGCACATCTTCGCGAAATATGAGAAAAATAAAAAAATATAGGAGATTACATCAATATTTTCATTATATTAATGTCATGTATCATCCTAAAAATTAATTTAAAAATATGTACATAATCTAAACACGATGGTGAATCAAATGATATCAAAATCACACAAGTCCGTGTAGCGGTTTCTAAATCAAAGCGACAACAAAACAAGATATTGGGGAAAATTATTTGTTTTTGGTTCGAAAAAATAATGTATTCATATTAATTTTTTTAATTGTATACAAGAAATTTCAG